AAGTAAGTATAAATATTACTATTATTAATAAGTACAATTTTGATTATTATAATGGGGTACAAAGATGTGTTGTGGTTAGTTATATATTTTGATATTATGAATATTTTGGATATTGTATTAAATACAGTGTTTAGATATTAATAATAGGTGTGTTATGATTAACATAATTGAAATGATGATATTCGTAATATTATGAATATCATTACATTTCATTTTCGTTAATAATTTTTATATTTTTTATTGCATTCCTAGATAGTGCATCCGCAACTACATTTTCTTTTCCTTTTTTATATATTATATCGAAATCAAAGTCTAACAGTTTTAAAGTGAGTCTTGCTATTCTAGCTGAAGGTATTTTTAGGTTGTTATAATATTGCATGCTTATATTGTCACAAAAGACTGTGAATTTGCGTCCCCATAGGTATTATCGGAAATATGTGATTCTGAAGCATAGTCCGAGCAATTCGAGTGTCGTAGAAGAATATGTTTTCTCAGAATCTAACAATTTTCTAGAAGCAAATCCTATCGGGTGTAAAGTATTGTTTTCATCAGCTTCTTCAAGATAAGCGCCTAATCCCATAATTGAAGCATCAACCGTTAAGAAGGTATATTTATCGTCATCAAAGTGTTTAAGTAGGGGTTCCGATGTTAAATGTTTTTTTAATATGTTAAATGATATATCATGTTTTTCGAGCCATTCTATTTTATGTAATCCCTTTTTAATTAGTTCTGTGAGTGGATGTGCGATTTTCGCGAAATCTTTTGCGTGTTTCCTATAATATGAGTACATGCCAATGAAGGATCTAACGTCTTTAATAGTTTTTGGTATTTTGAATTCAGTTATGGCTTTAGTATTTCTATCTAAGGGTCGTACACCTATAGTTGAGATTTCGTGCCCTAGTAACTCGATTTTATCGTAAAAAAGTTACATTTTTTTGTTTTAAGTAAGAAATTCATATTTTTTATAATTTCGAAAGCTTGACGTAAATTGTGTAGTGATTGATCAAAGGTTTTTCCATATGAGGCTAAATCATCGATATATATCACGAGTGATTTGTACAATAAAGGGGAAAATGCTTTATTTAGTTCTCTTTGAAATATTGCGGAACTATTTTTGTATCCTTGGGGAATTCATTTTCATTAACGCCAATCCATTTAACCGTGACTGCCCCGTCGTATTTCTTAAATACGTTTTTAAACGTTTAAGACTAAAAAAAAAAAAAAAAGCCCATGGGAATATATCCCCCGTGATTCTCTCCAGCTCACGCCACTGAAGTCAACTCGTAGCGAATGAAAGTGCTTTCAACGTCGACCGAGGTTAATGAGGCATATTTCATACCACATATGTCGGATGGTGTTACTTCAATAACATTTGACGTATTTTCATTTTTATTCATAAGAATATCTCTAATAGTTTTAATTTTTTTGTAAACGAACGTTATTACCGAGTACGTAGTTTAATTTATTTTTTTATTATAACTCCGGATTTTCCTTGAACTTTATTTAATTTGATTTCTGCATTTTCTAATATCGCACGACTTTCAATTATTGTTAGATTTAATGTTTCTAATTTTTTGATTACTTTAACTAATAAACAACAATTTGTGAAAATATATGTATGCTAAATGATTATTCAGGTCATTATTTTATACAATATCAGAAGCTCGTGTAATAGCGATTGCAATATCTGAATCAAGATTTGTAATAATGTGAAATATTTACAAAATATGTAAAATAAGATCTCATATTTTCATGGTGTTATGAAACGTGCTTATTTTTAATAGGAATTGAGAAATTCACATTCAATAAAATTATGTATTTACATAAAAATCCGCGCCCTACTTATGACATTTTAATTACCGATTAGAAAATATTTTATGATACAATTAAAATTAATAAATACGTAATACTACCAACCAGAGGCGTATACATTACATTAGTATTGGGAGGAATAATTTACAAACAATTCATTATTTTTAATTTTTTATTGTTTATTTTTTACGTTTCTAACGCCCTCGTACTAAGAACATTATTTTACAACATTTAAAAAAAAAACCTAGGGGGGATCCGACCCCCATATCATCCCCTCCTTGTATACACCACTGCTACCAACTACTACTATACTAAGATGGAACAAATTATCATTAATAATAACAAAATTATTCAACTGTTATTGGTAACTTTTCATCTTCCGTAGCTGTAAATACTGTTTTCAACGTGGGAAAAACAAATTATTTTTAAAATTTGAGCACGGTACAATTAGCAAAAATAATAAAAATAGAACGAAAATAATAACACGCAGTGCAACTCACGCAAATACTGCATCCTCGACGACTAATGTTCACGTGCACACGTCAATCGCTTACTGGAAACCACGCTATGGTTATTTATTTTTATAGCTGTTGGTGCTGATCGCTACGGCCATCCGCAATAACCAATCGCAGCTTGGAAACCGTATCTTCATACACGACCACGTGAAGAGTAAAATCGTTGATTGCGAGGAATGCATTTTTTGTATGGAGTTTTTCATTAAAAATTCGCTGACTCGTTCTTTAAAATTTTACGATGACTGTTATTCAATCGTATTTATTATAAAAGTGTTTAGTCTTTATCTGTAGCTCTTGATTATTCTGTGTACTGCGCAAGCCAATGTACGAGTTTAATTCGCGTAGGCGTTGTTATTCGAGTATTTTTCGATAAAGGTGAATATAAAAAATTCTTTAAAAAAGTTATACCTTCTGCCTTGTTTCAATTATAATGTATCATAAGAATTATTAAATTTTCTCTTTTTATCTAGAATGGCGTTTTATTTACTGTTGATTTTCATTACGTGTGTATTTGCAGTCGCATATTGTGAAGATTGTGTTTACAATCTTAAACACAAAGACAAAGAATTTTTATTCGATCTTATAAGGTAATAATATACTTAATATAAATACATATATATTTTGTATATTTATTTATATTAATATATTTTATTGTGTACATTTACATTTTTTATAAGCTTTAAAGAAGTCCAAACAGTGAACTTCACTAAGAATAACGATTTACACACAATAAATATAAGATTATGTAACAACAGTGAAACAAAGTCAAAATGTAATGGAATGAGATCAAAAATATGTCTAAAAAGTAAAAATTCCCAAATCGATATAGGATCAAAAATTAAAGGTAACAGTACATTTTTAAATTGTACCTATTTGACTAGGTATTATAAATCATAATTATAAATTTAATTTTTAATTTTTTTTTTTTTTGCAATTGAACAATCTGTAAATATAGGTTTTACAATAAGTTCAAGTGTATTAAAGTTAAAATAAAATAAAAAAAATAAAATAATTTTAAAATATAATAAAAATAGATTAATTTATGATTTTAAAAATTGGTGATCTGGGGGAAAAATCCATTCATTGATGTTTCTTCGTGACATCTATGAGAGGAATTTAATTATTTAATAGATCATGACACCACATTCGTTTTAGGCAGAGGTGGGACTAGGAATTTTTCCACTTGAGGAAAATGTTAAAATTACGCCCTATCATAGATCAATAATCAAATACTCTTCTCGAGAATTTTTTTTAACTATTAATATACAATCATACTTACTGAGTTTTAACCTAATAACAATATTTAACAAAGTTAAAAATATCAAATTAGTTGTTAATAATTACCAAACTTACACCCTCTAAAATTGTACCCCCGGGGATGAATCCCTGTTTTCCACCCTCTAATTCCGCCTCTAAGTCTTCTGTAGTCACCAGGAATTAATAGCATGTTTTCGTAATTTTTTTGTGAGGGAGGGGTATTTTAAATTTTCTAAAAAAGTAATGATATTGTAATATAAAAATACATATAAGGTATGTATTAATAATAAACCTAAAAAATAAAACCTGGGAACCTTCCCAATAAAATTACACTGCTGAAAATGAAGGGAACGGATAGTCCTGAGAGTAGAGAATTACATTGAATGATTATAAGTTTCAGTTTCTTCATATTTGTGTTTATAAAAATGTTGCATAACAATGTTACAGATCTATAAGTCTAAAAGATAAATAAAGTAAATATAATGTTTCAAAATAATTAAAGGTTCTATTCAAAATTATATTTTGCATATTTTGTCATAAAAAAACATACTTTGAATATAAAAGAAAAAATAAGAAAATAGGTTAGAACATTTAAATTTGTTTAATATTTTAAACATAGTTTAGATAAATAAGGGTAATCAATAAACTAATAAATAATATTATGTGGTTATAATATATTTATAATACCTTTATTTTGTCAATTATATTTGTAATATACTAGTACTAAATATAAATTATGAATGCCTTTTTTTATTGCAAAAGTTATAGTTTTAAAAGTTAAAGAAATTTGATTCTTCTATATCAAACATCTTTAGAAATTTAAACTGATTTTGTAAATCAAATTAAAAACCTCTTTCACTCGGAATTGTTTTTTCAAGAGCAACAATACATAAGTTTCAAATTTAAAAAAGCAAACTAGTAATATGATTTATCTATCTTTGTATCTCAATCAACAGCGGTCTGTGGAGTTACACCTGATTTTTGCCTTTTATAAATATCTTAATTAAAAAATAATCAGTTTTGTTTTATCTTAAACATTTATAAAAAACATGATATTAATAATTTTGCATTCATTTTTCTTGTGTTTTAATTATTTTTTATTTTATTTTGTTGTTGTTAGAAATGAAATTTGATGGAAAGAACCAGCTTATTATAATTTTAGAGGGGACAACATTTTGTGAAAGAAATAAAAAACACCAAACAGATTTAACATTTATTTGCAACAATAGTGTAAGCCAAAAAATTAAATATTGTTATTATATTTTTGTTAAATCTCAAATTATAATTGGACAGTTCAAAAATTATATTTAATTATGTATTTATAATATATCTAAAAACATATTTATACAATTTTAACAAAAATAATTTTAAATTAAAATTTTAAGGTATTACAGTTGGTAATAACAAACAGTTATAATAATTATTGTTATATATTTGTTATAGTATTTTATATTGCATAAGCCAATAATAAATAAAAATAGTAGTGGATATCTACTATGCTATTATATAGACATATTTTATAATAAAACAAATTCACTCCTAAAGTTAGATCAACAAATAATGTACCTATATAATTGTATAGGCTTTTTATTTTAGTTATTATTTTAATTAGTTCGTTATGAATTATAACCTATTTATTTATTTAAAATTTAAGCATTGTATTAGAAAAAAAGATAAAAATATGTCAATGTATTAACATTTGATTTATCTATATTTGATAATCCAATGAATAATTAAACAATTTAATAACCCCTAGCCACTAGTTGAAAAGAGTACCATAATACATACGATATAGAAGTGCCTAATTATAAATTTGTTATTACAAGTTAAGATTAATACATTGCTTAGCACTTAATTTTTATTTTATTATAAACTCATTAATTTTTGTGTTAGAATAATATTAAATAAAAAATCACAATATTTTGGGAGCTATTATTACGAATCTTAACGATGTCACATATAATAATCATGACATAATTTATTTTTTATTTTTTAATCATACAATTCTAGATAGTTGATAGTAAAATTGTTTATAAGTCAAGTGATAATTGCAAACATATTATTGAAGTTTCTTCTGTAACTGCTTGTCCAGTAGATGACTTGGATATAAGGAAGAGCTGTACTGCATCAATTCCCCATAGCAATTATGTGTAAATATTTTATTTTAAATTTAATTATTCAATACTTGGGCTTACAAATACCTTTTAGTGAATATGTATGATACTGTGTTTATTTATTAAATTTTTTTTCGTACCAAGCTTTAACTTGAGTCCATTGAGGCGGAATTTTACTAGTAACTATTTGGTTGAAAATCAAAATCGTCGTTTTGAGATTAATATTTGTGGCCGTTTAACGAGCAATAATAAATGTGGCGGTAATATAACCACAATATGTGATGTGACAGATGAAATGAAACCAAAAGTATATGCCGTGGGACATAAAAATGATAAACTACTTTTTGATAATGAAAGTAAACATTTAAAATTAATACAGCATGAACTTACTTCACAAAAAAGTAAGATAAATTAAAATGTTTAACTAACATACTTTTATTGCAAAATAAACTTTTATTTTTTAAATAGAAGGTAGAATAATTGAAATTATATTTAAATGTAATGAAAGCATAACACCAGAAAAAACTACACCAAAATTTTTGAATGAAGAAAATCATCTAGGTAAAACAAAAAGTTCTAATGTTGCATATTTTGAAGTAGCCACATCAACAGTTTGCATACCAAGATTAACTTCTTGTGAAGTAAGTATTATGAATTTTTTTATGTATTTAATTTTTTTTTATTGATCTTTTTGTAAAAAATTGACTTCTAGGGCCATTAGTTTAACATTAACTTAAAATTAGTTTGCCCAGATTTATCTAATGTTATTGTAGGCTTAAATTAAGTTGTTTAATTTTCTTTATGAATTGTTTGATTTTGATGGTTAATTGAGGGTCAGGTCCCAGCGCTTCTCCTATTTGTTGAAATATTTGATAATTTTTCTTTGTGTCTTCGTATATTTGGCATTTGGTGATTATGTGCTTTAGTATGTAATCCATTCCATACATTTCGCATATGGGTGGATCTTTTTTTCCATGAGGTGCCTGTGTGTGATGAATGTATGTCCTATTCTTAGAGGGTTTAATATAGTTTCCTCTTTCCTCTTTAGTCCTGGATTATGCCATGTCTGTATGCTGTTTTTTATTTGGTTTTACTTGTATTCTGGTTTGTCCATAGTTTGAGCCATTTGTAGCTTAAGACTTGTTTTGTTTATTTTTTTATGTCTTCATATGTATTGAAAAGTGGAGTGTCTGAAGATGAGGCTGCTTTTGATGATTCTAAGTCTGATTTTTTGTTACCATCTATGCCATAGTGTCCGGGTATCCATAGATAGCATATATCCATATCATGTGCTTTGAGCGTTTTCTCTTGAATTAGTTTGGATATATCTGATGGGTGTGTGTGTTTTGGATTCCTGTGATGTTACTGAGTGAGTCACTGATTATGAGGTAGTTTCTGGGTGGTGTTTCTTTATTTTAAAATATGTATAACACCGCCTTGTATATCACCAGTGCCTCAGCCGTATAGACTGAGCACTTGGCAGGTAGTTTATATGCTGTGGTTTTATTTTCTGTTACTATTGCTATCCCTACGCTGTCTTTTGTTTTGGATGCATCAGTGTAAATATGTTTTCTATCATGGTAATTTTGTAGTACATCATGGAAAAGATTTTTATAGATATTGAGATTTGTGTTGTATTTTTTATATTCTGATATTTCTATGTTTGTATTGATTTGCATTAGCCTCGGAGGAAATTTTTGCTTTTCTCTTGGTACTAATATTATTAAGTTTAATGTAATAACAAATTGTTCTCTTTATTCATTTCTCAGAATAATATATTGCATACTAATTAATGTTATAACATTTAATTTTTATATAAAATTCGTGAAGTGTATTATAAAAAACGTTTAACTTATATTTTTTAATAAAACTATACTGGATAATTTATAAAATTGTATTTTATGTAAAATGTGATCTGTTTTTATTGTTGATTGTAGATTTTCAATGGTAATGATCATTATAATTTAAAACCTTTGCATAAGCGGGTAGGAAATTGGCTGGTAATGAATTATGAAACTGGTGGAAAATTTTACCTGAATGTTTGTGATTATTTAAATCAATATGATGAAGAAATTCCTGAGTTATGTTCAGGTACATTAATGTATTGATTGTATGTTACTATGTTCACTAGGTATTATATATATATTTTAATTTTTTTTTCGCAGTTGATCGTAAAACTTCAGCTTGTTATGTGAATAGTTCTGGTGTAGGCATTTCTATAGGGTCTTCTCAAATTGGTCCACATTTTGTAGGAAATTCATTAATATTAAATTACACCAGTAAGTTAAATATTTATTGGGTGAGCAATGAGTAAACATTTATGTGAAAATAATATTAAGTTATTATTTTCAGATGGAGAGAACTGTAAAAATTCTTTAAAATGGTCGACAGTAATATATTTTACTTGTTCTAATAAATCAGAACTGATACATGTTTTAACAGATTTTAATACATGTGTATACAAATTTCAATGGAAAAGCCGTGATGCTTGTAAATCATTGGTAATTATAAAAATTTGACATAGTTTATTTGTAATTTTTTTTATAATTGTTTTTTTTTTAGTTTGAAAGAAAAAATTATTGTATGGTTACACACCCACGATATTCTAATACTGTTTATAACTTTAATGATTTAAAAGATAAGGATTTTGAAGTTAATGATGAAAATTATGGGAAATTTCGATTTAGTATTTGTAGTCCATTGACAAAGCCCTGTAATGGTATTTTTGAATCAGCAGCTTGCTTTTCAATCAATGGAATTGAAACAAATATAGGACTTTTTACGGAAGAAATAGTTTTTGATAATGGTAAAATTTATATGTCTATGCATGGAGAAAAATGTGAGGATGATGGACCAAACAGTTATACTGTTATAAGATTTGTGTGTGATTATTCTAACACCAAAATAATTAAAATGATGAAAGTTAGTATAAAATATTTATAAATATATTTATTTATAATACAAATGTATTAAATTTTATAGTATGTGAATTATGTTATTGTTTTATATGGTTAGGATTAAGGAAGCTACACTACTATTCTTATAAAATAATTAAAAATTATTAATGTATTAATCTGTTAATATCCTAACCTCAATATTGTATACATGCAGTCATTTATTTCTTTATAATTTGTATCAGTACTGATATCTTTTATAAAATATATTATTACAGTGAAAATTGTCTAAAGCGGACCCTGAATAAAACGGAAAATTATCCAATACGAAATTTTTCTATGGTCTCGGCACTTTCCTATAGTTTTATATAGATGCTGAATCTCAATAAAACGGAACCTTCTTAACGCGGAAACGGAAAGATTTTATAAGTCCCATGCAAGTAAAAACCTTGCATAAACCGGAAAAATGACGCGCGTGTGTACTATAAACCAAAAATAAGGTATAAAATATAGATATGCACATCGTTGTTTGTACATCGTTAAATAGTGATAGATAAAGAAGATAAAAATTTTCTATACATATTCCTACAATATATGTACATACAATGCATATTATCGCATACATAAACGATACGAACTTTTTTTCTTTGTAACTGTGAAATAGTCATACACCAACAGTTGTACGTACATTTTCAATTTTATCTTTCGTTAATCGTATTAAATATTAAAATGCTAAAATATAAGTGTCTATGAAAAATATCAACTGATTGATATGAGTATAAAAGGATAATTGAATAATCTGGAATTTTTCCGTTTTATTGAATCAAGCGGAAAACTGCTTAAAGTGGAATTTTTTGTTGGTCCCATGCGATTCTGTTTTAGGCAGTTTACACTGTATTATAATGTTATAACTCAAATTTGTTAATATGATAGTTAAACTTTATTAAAAGTATATAAAGTTTAAATTAATATTAAATATTATCAACCATTACATTATTATAAAACAATATAATAAAAAATTAATAACGATGTAAGTATTCTGTTTATTAATATAAATGTTGTTATCTAAGTCCAATTATTATAAGTATCCCATTATTATGTAAATTTGACATTTTCTTTTGTTAACTTTAATGAGAATAAAAAATAAGTTTACTATTTTCTTCATTTAGTAATATGTATTTACATTTTAAAACTCAACCCATCCATATTAAAGGATTTTATCGCTTATAGCAGGGGTGGGTGATTGGTGGCCCGCAGTTCGCATCCGACCCATGAATCTTTTTTATCTGGTTCGTGCTATATTTTCAAATCACATCATACGATTTTAAAATTTATCGTCCATACTTTATCTTATCGATATAATAATTGTTATCTGGTATTAAATATTGTCAAATGTCTAAATGTCATATGTACACATATGTATATGTTAAGGTGTATGACCGCAGTAGGCGAATGTTGACAGTCACCGGTGTATGTTGACATTTACCAAAAATTGTAGTTAATATTGACAAAATGGTCTTAACGCGTTCATACAACGGTGATTGTTGACTTTTACCATTAGTGTTTGGTAAATGTTGACCACACTTGAAGCATGATGTATGTAAAAGGTATTTTTGTATTATTTTGTAGGATCGATAATATTTTGGATTAGATTTGACGTTATCGCCTAGTTATGGTTGTTGGCTGTTGTAATGGATGTTGATAATGACTTCTATTAATTAGGAAAAAAATATGCGATTATCAGTCAGCTGTACACTCAAAATCAATATACAGCGTGCAAAGAAAAATTGATTTTTTGAACGACATTTTATCCGATAAGACAATGTCTTTGAGGCAGGTATCGACGGTTGCTTCCAAAAGTGGCGGCCAAGGTTACATACGATGGAATTGTAATTGTAAGAATGGGGGAATAATTTGTAGCAGTAAATGCTACGATAGTTTACAGTGATGTAATAAATTAAACTATATATTAAAAAAATAATTTGTTTATTTATGAATCTGATATTTATTTGATTATATATATATTGTTTGACATGTCAATATTCACTAAATAACTATTGCGCATGTCAACAAATACTGGTAAATGTCCGTATTGTGAGATATTTGAAATAATTGATAACATTCACTAAAATGATCGGTAAATGACAACATACACCGGTGACAGCATTCATTGCCATGCGGTCATACACCTTAACATATAAGTACATATAACTTTCAAACATAGCTGTTTGTACCAAACTATTTAACTATGTCAGTTTCTTCGTATCATTCGTGTCGTGCTATCATGTGTGTTGAATTTATTATTTCGATGTATATAAATGCTAATTAAAATTCATATTTTGAATGAACTTTTTTTTCCTATGCTTTGGCCCGTTTGATTTTAATTTTCTTAAAATTAGCCCTTTAGTAACTTTAAGTTGTCCATCCCTGGCTTATAGGATGAATTTGCAACTGTATATTTTCTAATTTTAATAACCTAACTTGTATAATAGTTATTGCAATATATAACTTTTACTACTAGTATATTAGTATTAAATAAAAATAATAGGTACAATCATTTTTTAAAATTTTTAAGTTTATTTTAAATTTCATAATTTTATTATAAAGTAATATTTTATATTTTGTTTACTAGGATTTACAAGAGTGTTTTTTTGAGTTTTTTGTATTTACAAAATATGCTTGTACTCAAAGTCTAAAAATTAATTGTACTGTAGATGATCAGTTGGGAAATATTTATGATTTAAGTAAACTAACCAAATTAAATAGTAATTATGAAATTACTATCAATCCAATGAAAACAATTATTTTAAATGTTTGTCATTCTGTTATTAACAATGACATAAATGGCACTAATTGTCAACTCAATAGTGGAGTATGTTTAGTAGACAAAAATTATTTATCGACTTATCATTGGTAAGGATTATTTAATTTTTAGTAGATAGGTAAAATTATAATATTAAGAATTTAATAAGTAGTGAAATATTAATTTTAGGTATAAAAATATTGGTGATGTATATGAAAATCCTCGTAAAAAGGGAAATAAAATACTATTAGAAATGAAAAATGGTTTTTATAATGCTCATAATGTTTCATCAGTTATTGAATTTATATGTCAAAATCAAAATAATAATGTAAGTATATTAAGTATCATCATAATACTTATCAATTTAATTTTTAAATTTGTTTTATATAAAAATGCACTATGTATATAGATTTCGGTTATGTTGAAAATTGTTTAAAATTATTATATTAACAAATGTAATTTATTTATTATTAATTAACGGGCAATGCCCTTTGAAAAAATATAGGCAAATATATTTTAAATGTAATTAAAAATATATAGTAGAAATATAATTTGTATATACTACATAACTATTGTAAGTGATTGATTCATAATTAACACAGAATCAAATTTATTAGAACTATCGATTTAAAATGTTTAGGGTAGATTAATATTATAATTTTACCGTTCACATGCTTCTTCAGTTTTGTTTCATAGGCCATTAAGGATCATCACTGCTCCACACAGCCTCCTCCATTCCTCTCTATCATTTTCTAATTCTTTTGGGTTATTAACCCCAAATATCCTGACATTTTGGTTGGTCTCATTTATCCGTCTTTTCTTCAGTCTGCCCAATGGTCTCTTGCCTTCTCGTTTTCACTTAAGTGCATCCTTCATTATGCCATTCGATTTCCATATGTATCCAAATTAACTCATTTTTCTGTCTTTAAATGTTTGTATAATGTCTTCTTCTCCCCACAGGTCTATAATTTCTTTATTAAATCTTATTTCATATTCACTTTTTTAATAATTTATTTTAGGACTAAAAATGCGTTGTAGGAATTTTATTTCTAGAACGGCCAGATTTTTTTTTTGTTCTCTTTTAACGTTGGCTACGTTTCGCGTGCGTATATAATTACTGGTCTAACTAAAACCTTTTATAAATGCATTTTTGATATTTTTGATAATATCTTGGAACTGAAGGTTTTTTTGTAGCGCGACATAACACTTATTTCCAACTTTTATTCTCAGGTTTATTTCCTCATGATAATTATTGCGACTATTTATATCAACTCCGAGATATTTAAAGTTTTTTACTTTTTCGAAACAATAATTTTCAATGCCCAAATTTCTGTTTTGGTGTAATTGATTACCTCTCATAATTACCATATATTTAGTTTTCCCTTCATTTATCATTAGCTCCATACTCAGCGCTCTGGTTATCAGCTCCTTTGTAGTGTTTTTTATGTCCTCTTCATTTAATCCTAGTATCATTACATCATCAGCGTAGGCTCGTAATGCATTTTTCCATTGAAACTGACACCATTCGCTGTTTCTTGGACCTTCCTATTAACCTTCTCTAGGGAAATTTTAAATAATATCAGTGACAGGGCATCTCCTTGTTTTAAACCTACTGTTGCCTCGAATTCTTCTGAATAATTGTTTCCGAATTTAATTTTACATCTTGATCCCTCAATGCATAATTTCATCATTTTGACTAATTTCAATGGTATATCAAACTTTTCTATGCTTTTCCAAAATGATTTTCTCTGGATAGAATCATATGCCTGCTAAATCTATAAACAATAGATGTAATGGCTTATTGAACTCGTAATGTTTTTCTATTACTTGTTTTAGTGGTAACACTTGGTCGATTGTATATTTTCCTGGTTTAAAGCCGCATTGGTATTCACCTACTATTTATCTCACATATAGTTTCAGTCTATTTAAGATAATATTTGATAATACTTAATAAGCTGTATTGAGTAACGATATACTCTTGTAATTATGACAATTTTCTGGGACACCTTTTTTATATATGGTACATACTCGTATTACTGCTGTCTCCCATTCTTCTAGTATCTGTTCTTGTTGCCATATCTTCTAAATTAGTTGAATTAGGCGATGCGTTAGTAAACCACTGAATAAAACATAACTAGACTGGACACAGGACCGTGCAAATATCAGTGGTGCACACAAGATTTTTTTTCGGGGGGAGGATCAAGGTAAAAATATAACACATTTTACAATTAACAAGATAATACAAATCCTTAATGTATTTTGACTTAAATAATAGTATTGATAATCAGTGCTCGAATTGGGAAAAATTAAGTAGAAGAGCTCAGTCCAACGATTTGAAAACTGCGTTCCACGTGCGCAATTATTTGACACAGACCCGTGGGGGGGGGCTTTGTCCCTTTTCCCCTCTCCACCAACCCTAAATATATTTTGAATACCACTTTTCAGCTAAACAAATATTTAAATTCCAAATATAATATATTTTGATAGCAATATCAACATCCTATATGTTACAATAGAAAATAAAAATAAAATAATAATTAACATAGGTAATTATAGGCGATCAGGCATTCTCATGAATTGAATGATATAATCATATATTTGGTTTTTTATATCTATTTTTATTCCTTAGTGCGGGCCACGGCCTTAGAAGATTAGTCTAAGGGCGTTGTGAGGGCATTTATTTTTTTCGAAATGACGATATCGTCGATCGCCAATATTAATAACAAACCGTATAATTTATAAAGTATAATACACCAAATTCACAGACATTACTATTTATATTTTTCCAGAAATGACGACGTTGTCCCTTATCATAACCACCATATAATCTTATATTATATTATAATTATAAAAATATTTTCGATATTATAAATCGTAAAAGTCATTTTCCAATTGACGTTAATTGAAATTCGTATAAAAATTATTTTGGACATCAATTAGGATGAACGTGGCGTTAGGTTGCGTCCCCCCGTTCCGGTGAAAAAATATAGTTGGGGTACACAAAAAAAAAAAAAATAGTAGAGGAGCTCCGTCCCCCTGCGCACCCCCCCCCCCATAATTCGAGCACTGTTGATAATAGAATAGACTATTCTATAATCAATGATACTAGGTATTCAATACTAGCTCTTCATATTTCAAACTTGTAAAATTTGTAAATTTTAACCTAGACATCGGAGAAAATTTCGGGGGGTAGGTTACAATCCCTTTACCCCTCCCCCTGCGTGCACCACTGGCGAAGATAAAAATCCGTCAAGAGAATTGTTACAATGGCTCAGGGCCATAATTATACTATATAGATTATGCCTACATATCATTAACAATTAGTTCTTCTCTTTTTTTTATGAGTTCAGTTTCTATTCTTGTCTTCGCCCGGCGATCTATAGATAGAGATTAGATCTATAGATCTTATAGGACAAATGGACGTCAAATAAAAAAAATATATAAATCAGTAAATAAAATAAATAAGTTGTTTATATTTATTATAATATGTAAATTTTAATGTTAAAAATATTCATTTGAAAAAACTTCACCATCGCGATTTGAATTTATAAATGACATCTTACATATACACTGACATACAATTTGTACACGACTAATACGTTTATAGATGTGTATTATCGTGTCTCGTGTATCACCGTGTTTCGATAAGTGTGATAATTAGGGCTCGGAACTTAATGCACTTAAAAAATACTATATATGCATGCACTTATGCGCTTAAAAAAGTACAAATATGCTCTAAAAATATACACTTATATTTTATTTTTGTACACAAAATTTTCATTTGCACAAATATTTTATAAAATTATAAATATAGAAAAAGCAAAGTAATAAAAATAATTTTGATTTAAAAAAAAAAATAATAATAATAAAATAGCATTAAAAATGTTTCTTGAATAAAATAAAATGCACTAGTAGAATGTTCAATAATCATTATTTTCTAGAAAAATAGTTATAGAAAATCATTGTATTTCGATAGCAGCTGCTCCTATTTGATATTTTTATAATATTTTATTTTAGATGAAGCTAGCAGTAATTATAATTTATAAATATATGTATATTATATAAACCAATAGGATAAAAACATTGTTTTTAATGTCGAATGGGAATTTGAAAAATACAATACAAGAATATTAAGAAAGTTCTCTCAATATGAATGAATTAATTTTTTATTTTTTTGAATTTTCATTCTGAATCTTCAAAAATCATAAAATATGCTCTAAGAAATTGTAAAGTTAAGAAATATGCTATAAAATCTAAAAATCACTAAATATGCAAAAATATGCACTATAAATTTTTGATATGGTTTTCGTAGTGTCTTGGAACGAATTTCTAGCTCACTTAGCAATAAATCCAATCGTGCAAAAAAAACATGCAAATGCAACAACTTCCGAGCCCTAGTGATAATTATTATGATGTAAAAACCAATAAGTTATATATATTGATATAAAAGGTACCTATTGCCAAAACGATAAAATTCGATAAGGTTTGATATTATAATACGATCAAATCCCGTTTCTGTTCTCGTAGTGTTCGGTTATGTTCTTTTCCGTCTACTCTTATCGCAGCTATTATTTATATTTATTGTATCTAACCGTTAGTGTATTTTAATTACCTTTATATGTCGTCTTCGAGCGGCGACTCGCGGTTAGGTAAATCACCGGCTCCTAACAAAATAAAACCTATTTTGTCTTTTAATCTGGTACTTGACTCCAGTTATACACCTGTCATCTAAAAAAAATGCACATAAGTTAAAAGCCAACTCACTCTCTCCCAAGTCCCCTGAATTTCAACAAATTTTAAACAACACTCCAGTGTTAAATACTTCGGCCTTCGATTATAACAATCTCGTATCTACGGAAAACAGTACGTCGCCAGACTCGATCATTTAACAACAGCTTATCTTCTGATAATTTTAATGATCTTACTTTGCGTTCCGTCTGGTATGATTTCAACGCCAACTACCATTTCTACGTATTCTACTGATAATCCTAATGATATTAATATGTCGTCTTAACTTACACAACAGACCTCTGCTGATTATAACGGTCCCGTCATAATACTTATTGAATGCACCGTTTTTAATAAAAACTTAGGTAATTGGCATCCGATTTAATCAGCCAAATTTTTTTCTATCAATTTCACTGGTATAATTAACATCAAACCCTCTGGCGCAAAAAAAATCAAGATTATCTTTGATTCGATTTTGAATGGTAATCTCTGTCTGACTTCCGATGTTTTAATTGAACATGGCTTTACAGCTAGCATTCTTTCGAACCTTATATACTCTTTTGGTATAATTAAACTCCATCCAGACATCTCCGAGGACGATTTCCTGGATGGAGTCCTATCATCTTCCCAAATCGTAAGCTTCAAACGTATATCAATCGAAAAAGGTGGCAATATCGTACCTACACGCATCGTTGAACTCAAATTCTTGTCTCCTAAACTACCTCAATACATTTCGGTCTACAATATGATTTTCGACGTCCATCCAAGCATTCGCTCTCCGGTATAATGCAATAGATGTCTACGTTATGGGCATATCCAAAAATTCTGTCGCACCGATCCTCAATGCAGCCATTGCGGTTCCAAACATTTTATCACTGATTGCCCATCCATTCTTATCACAGACCCGACTTGTCTCTTCTGCAAACTTCCACATGTAGCTACAGAACATAGCTGTCAGGAATGGTCAGCTCAAAAAGTTTTCAAAAAAATCATGGTTACTGAAAATTTATCTTATAAAGATGCTTTAGAATTCAAGAAAAATAAATATTGTACCTCTGCTTTTAAATAATCGATGTAGTAAATAGTCAGCTTCCAAATCCCAATATTTTGAAACCAAACATGCCCCTTTATGAGGACAATTTTCCTAACTTAAATGAAAGCCATAATTTTTTTAATTCTAGAAAACACAAACAGAAACTTTATACTACGTCGAATAAAAATAAAAATGTCTCACTCGCTAAACCTTTCTTTTTTTCCCCTAATGGAAGTTATTTAGATAATATCTAATCAACGTAACTCTATGGAGAATAATTTTAACCATTTTTCTTGGGTACATTCTTTATCCTTAAAACTTTCCGAAACTTTAATTAACTCTCTCTCTCTATCCTCCCCTTTCTCATCTTCTGCTCTTCAGTCCTTAATTGAATCTTCTCTATTTTCTTTATTAGCTATACCCAACTTCAAATATGTTTCCTAAGCTACCTCCTATTCTTCTGTACGTAAACCTAGCATAAATTACCACATCCTTACTCGTTATTAACTTTACGCAAGCATTAATGTCCTCTCACATAAATTGTATCATTTTTGGCAACAATTTAAATATAAGAAGCTTATCAGCTCGTCTTCCTTCTCTTATATACCTTCTTTCTGCTCAAAAATGCTCTGTTGCAATACTTTCTGAAACTTGGATCATCCTCTCCCGTTATATGAATATCCCTTCTTTTAGAATCCACAGATCTGATCGACTAGATGGGTCCACTAGAGATAATTTCTATAAACACAAAATTGACGTTTTAGGGGTTGAAATCGTTTTGGATTCTCAACCTCCTTTAGAGATATGGTCTTGCTATATCCCTAGTAGTTCCAACGTTCCTTTTAACATCTGGTTTTCTCTTTTCAGCCTGATCTCCAGGATATACATATCTTACTCTCCCTTTTCAACAAAAGGAATCTTGTTTTTTTTTCACCTTTCGGCTCTTCTAATACTCGTTCCACTTTTACAGGTCTACTTCAAGGGAGTTGCCTCAGTCCGTTGTTGTTTAAAATATATATGAGCATTGTAGCTAATAGTCTTTTGAGGTGTGGTTATTAATGCCTTATCTAAGCTGATGATATGGTCATATTTTCATCAAATAAATCTCTTCCCCTCACTATAGAATTATTAAACGCTGCCCTCATTGATCTTAAAATTTTTTAACAAACATATCACTGGAAATTGCTCCTGAGAAATGCAAATCCGTCATTTTTACTCAATGCAGATATTCAGATCCCTTAACATTCACCTTGATGACCACCTTGTTACATTTGATACCACCGTCACCTACCTAGGCATCACTCTAAACACGAAACTACGTTAGAACCTCATATCTATTCGCTTTCCGCGATCACATCTCGCTGGGCTAATTTTCTCAGGACCGTATCGAACACGTGGTGGGGGTCTCATTCTACTTGCTTGTTTTCCATTTATCGCTCTATCATTCGTTCTAAATTAGACTATGGTTGTTTTCTCTTCGGTTCGACTGCTCATTCCAACTGGAAAAAAAATAAATTCACTCCTAACGCCTTTTCTCAGAACTATAATGGGATACGTAAGGTCCACCCCCGGGTTATCGAAGTTGAGACAATTAGTCCTCATTTTAACATCAGATGCCGGTGGCTTGCCGGAAAATTCGTATTAAAATCTTTAGCTCTTTCTAACCATATTATGTTTGATACCTTCTATTCCCTTTTTGTCACCTGGCGTTATACACCCAAAGCAATGCCCGTCCTCTATTGCAGCTAACAATCTTTCCAATTTTCACCAATACGTTATAAATTCAAATAAATTTCCACTCTATGAGCCAGGCGCGGATCCAGGAATATTTTTTTGGACGGGCCCATAAACTTAACCACAAAAGAAAATACAGTAAAATTATGATTTTATTTAATGAATCTCTCATTTTCGAATATTCTAGCCATTCGTATTTTGAATACCACGAAATATTAAATGATCTCTGTTTTCCGCCAAAGTTTCGTCTTAGAGACGTAATGTTGGGTTGATTTGGCCCTTTTTCAACGTTTTGACTAATATCAAAAATATTGTTTTGAACATCGCGATCAATGACACCTATTGAAGTAGAAGATTTACGAATTTTTTTGGAAGTAACAGATTCAATAACAGATTGATCCAATTGTAAAAGGGGAACAAGAAAATTTTTCATGGCCTATAAAAAAAGTATTTATAAATAAAATAAAACAGGATTTTAGAATCTCAGATATAAAGAGTGGTAAATTGTTCTTATATGTGAGTAACTATTTATTACAATAATATAACAAACTACGTATATATACTGTACATATATGTATTTGTTTTCGTGTAAGTATTCAATATTGAATAATTGCACAATTTGTTAAATATAAAATAAATAGTTAAAAAAACAAAATAAAACTTACCTATTTGGTATATGTGCTCAGCACGTCAGCAATTCGTGGATGGATTTCCAATAAATTTTAATATTTAAATTGTTTAGTTAAAATGTGGATTTAAGTATCGCTTATTGGAAGTTGACAGCAGACAGAATAATATTATGAGTACACGTGTGTCATTTAACAATATTTACTGGTCGGGTAGGGTCCAGTTTTACGTACACTTATTATATCTTATCGGGGTTCCATTGGCGTTCGAACGACGACAATCGATATTTAGATAAAATCACGCTAATTACACGGACAATATTCCTGTTCATGATCCTCTATTTCTGGTTGGTCCAGCATTTCTTGGAAAACTTGAACTCTTCAGCAATAAGAAAGGTGGTAGGTATCTTCATTGATGATAAATATTAACCATTTTATTGTCTGATCTTTTATGTAGTTGTTTTTAAATTGGGATATATAAAAAGACTTGGTTGTGTATGGACATAATATTGTGGAACTTAAAATTTTATCAGAGATAATTGAATAAGAGTGAATATGACATTAGGTAACAGACAACTTACAAAAATCTGTCTATTATCTGTCTTCAGTCAACTAAAGATGCTAGATCGAGAATCTTTATGATTGGATTGTAATAATGAATACCTAATATATAACTTACATGTCTCAAATATTTTTCTTGAACTGTTTCATGCTAATTAGCACCATTTGCAATATATGGGTCCCAAATTAGTGAGCCATACTCTAAAATGTGTTATACTAAGGTACTGAATAACGTCTTTACCAAGTAATATGTTACTGATTGAGGTTGTGGTTTTAAACTCTTTGAACATTAAATTTATATAATGATTTTATTAAAATTACAGCTAATGAAATTTTAATTTATATTTTTAGTTTGCTATTAACTACTTATAATGAATTTCAAAAATTTTAATCAAATCAAATCTATATTTGAGTTTTTACATTATTTTTCTATTATTTTTAATATCTTTTTTATGAAAGCTGATAAAATTTAATAATTAGTTGTAGAATATTGATTCATATCTATATTTTAATATTATATATATATATTTTTTTTCATATTTTATATTATATTTCATTTTTATTCAGAAATTTAAATTTATGACAATATTACAATCTAATACAAATGTTTTATTCATTTTTTTTCTGAGATAGATGATTATGTTATTTATTAATTATTATTATGATAATTTTACTATGTTTTTTTTAATTTTTAATTTTATTTAGGGATATCCAGTGTTTGTGAATGAAATAAACAATAGATTTATATTTAAATGGCATACACCATTAGTGTGTCCTGATAGAAAACAAAATAAAAAAAGAGAAACTCTGGAAGATAAACTTGATCTTGATAATTTTAATAACACTGTTGGAATCCACCCTCAATTGGAAATACTTACTGAAGTGAATTAAATTTTATATTTTTAATTAAGAATATCACTTTATATTAAAAATAATATGTACATTTTATATTCAAAAAATTAATATCAATCTTAAATTAATATTTATGTAGAAGTAGTACACATATGCACATTTGATGCTTAAATTATAAAATAAAAAGTTCAAATATAACTAAGTACTTAGTTTTATCTAATCATTAATTTTATATTTTTATATTCTGAGTGAAACAAGGAATGCAGGTATTGGTTTTGTCATTATGTATTTATTTTTTGTGTTTGTGTATATAATTTTAATTAGAAGTATTGTTTCAATCATCACCTAGTAATAATCAATAATATGAAATTGGTTTTAATTAGTAATTTAACATGCTTTTAAAAGAAATAAATGTAACATTAAAAGGTAACACTTTTGTAATGAAAAAACAGCAAAATGTACGACCTGCTAGTTTTTGACAAATTATAATACCTACTGGTTTTTATTGTTATACAAAAAATAGTAATCGTAGGGACTTGATATTTTCGACTGTTCATGTCACAGTTTGTTTAAGATGGTATAATTTTCATAAGAGTTTATGAGATATTTATAGAAAATTGAGATTTTCATATTTGTTTAGTTTTTTTTTTTCAAAAAATCATTTTGGTTTGACAAAAATGTATAATTAATGTACATATTTAAATTTATAACATGCTGATGTTTCATACACATTATTAAAGTATTTTTTTTGTAAGTTAGCATGACCTTTAATTATATCGTAAGTTTGATTTATACAACTAAAAAAAAAAAGCATATGTACGTTTTGAAAAGGTTAAATTTATAATTTAATAATGATTAATTACAACACAAAGAAAATTGTAATTGGTCTTATAAATAAGTATATGTTATTTTTTTATGCAATATTATAGTTGAAATGTGGTGTCAGTTTTATTGATTTAACACCATTAAAAGGAAATTATATAGTTATCAATAAGGAAACAAATACTAAGTATTATATTAACATGTGTATGCCTACTACTAAAGACAATATTAGAGGAATAATGGAATTTAATGGTAAAAATTATGTAAGTATAAAATATCAAATTGAATAAGTTATTTTAAACCAATTATGATTAAAGATATTGTTTTTTTTTGATTTTTTTCATAATCATTATGTTATATATGATGTGTTTTATTTTATTTGATTAAGAGTATTGGTAGTCAAGGAATGCTAAAAATTGAGAAGGAAGGTAAGGTTAATGTACACTTAATGATAGGTGACAAATGTCCAGAAAAATCAAGACTACCGATGGAATGGTCAACTAAAATTATATTAATATGTAGTAATATTGAAGTAAATTAATTAATTAATCTGTAGGAATAGTTTTATAATTATTAAATAATTTTACCCTATTATGAAGGCAAATCCAATATTTATGAAAACAAGGAAAAAATGTGCATTAGAATTTTTATGGGAAACTAGTCATGTTTGCAACAAAATAATATTAGAATTTAATGAGTGTAATCGTGAAGCATATATTATAGGTTACAGAAAAGACATAGAAAACAGTAAAACTATAAATATGAAAAATATATTAAATACTACTAAAGTAAGTTCTAGTATAATATAAATTGACTTATTTATCAAATGAATAATACATATTAATTTTAATTAATAACATTTTCTTTATTTTAGTTTTTTGATAACTTAACACAAACATGGTTTGATGTAAATTTTTGTAATGCAACTGTTAAGTTAAATAATTTAACTTCACTTAGTCTTATGAATTTGTTATATGATGTTAAAAATAATCAGATAAGTGCTTATTTTAAAGATAGTAAATCAAGTAATTTAAATTATAATAACCAGATAACCTATTAAATAGTTAAAAATATCATAATAAATAATATTTTATAATAAATATAATTTCTAGGATTTTCAGGTGTGAACATTATAATAGAATGCTTCAGAAACATGGAAGATTTATCCATACCTAAAGTTGAAATAACTAGTGTAAGTTTTGTTGAACAGTATATAAGACTAAATTGTCTTAAAATAAAAATGAAGTTTTTCAACTTTGTATAAAATAATTATTTACTTGCTTACTAATATGGTTTATTTCACGAAAATAAATTTATCAGTTATAACTTTGTTGATTCATTAAATTTATCGCAGGCTTGATAGTTTTGGAAACTTATTCCTTTTATATAGACTGTTTTATTTTGAATATAATGGAAATGAAAATGTAATATTAAATGTTTTTTTAGGACGGATTAAAAATCAATATGTATTCTAAAGGTTTGTGTTGTATGGACAATAATTTTACAAATGCAGAAACATGTAAAAATATTCCATTAGCAAACATTTTAACTACAAAAATGTTATCTAATAATACCAAAAAAAATGAATTGTCTATTAATCTTCAAAATTATGATTATAAATCAAGTGATACTTCAGAAGAATCAATTGTTTTAACTAAAGAAAATATTGAAGAATCTGACTTAAATTATGAAAATAATAATGAGTTTTTTTCACAATATTATGGTATATTGATGGACAATGAAAAAATCAAATACCTATAAATTATAATATGTAACTTTATAAAATGTTATAGGAACAACTGAACTGATAGATAATTTCAAGAATCAGTCATCTGTGAAAAAAGAAAACTCTGATTCTTCATTATACTTAGGTAAAATCATTTTTGAAAAAAAAAAAAACAGAAAAAATGTATCTTTTATTAGTATACTGTATTGTCTTTAATCTACATTTAAAATTTATGAATATTTAATAATAATAAAAAAAAACTTATATTACATATGATCATAGGCGTGCGCAGACATTTTTTTTTAGGGTATTCAAAGGCTCTGCCACTGCCTCCCCCTCCTTAAAACTGAAAGTTAATTTAAGCATTCGAAATTCTGGTCTTAATAACTATTTAATTTAAAATTTTAATTTTTTTTCCTGAAAAAAGTGACTAAATAGCTATTTCTTAATCGTTGTAACTGTCTTCATAATTAAAATTTAAAATTAAATTACGAAAAAAAAAATTAAATACATAACACTTGAAATGGTTTGAGTAATACGTTTAAATAGGGTAAATAAATAATAACGTAATTATATACTTAAATTAAAAACAAAATAAATTTGATAAATAATCAAAATTAATCATAAAACGATTCTGCGTACAGTTGAGTTCTTAATATCACCAATAATGTTTTCGGCATTGTAATTTATAGCCATTTCTTGTAGTTGATAGCTATTTAATCTCGCTTGAATTATTGTACTTCTTAATTTCATTAACACATTAAATCGTTATTATAGCATATGGTTTGTGTTTCAAAAATAAATTAAACTATCTGGGACTAAATATAAAAATATAATAAAAATCATAATGTAATACACAATCGCAGAATTATACATAAGACCAAATATGTCATAATTTTTATTTATTTTTTATAATTTTAAAAAGAAGGCTCTATGTTTAGGGTATGCATTTGCATACCCTGCATACCTCCTGCGCACGCCTATGCATATGATTTTATTTGTGTGCGTATATTGAATATAAGAACATGTTTGATAATCTATAATTTTTGTTTTTTTATACCAAATTTTGTCTAGTTGATTCATTACAAGGTTTTAATAGAATTTCTTTTCAGTTTTTCAAATAATTCAGTTAACTAAGGAAAAACCACAAAAAAAAAAAAAAATCGTAGACTTGAAATATTTATTGAATTCTTATATCACTATTCTCTATTAGTAGTTAATATTTTCAAAATTTTTAACTTTTTGAGCCATTTATTGATACTTGAAAATGTTTGACTTTTTTAAAAATTGTAATTGATTTTAGTTGGATAAAATTTTTAATTTTTGGGTTTATAGTGCCTTACAAAACTGCCCATAAGTTGATCTTCAATGTTAAAAAAAAATTGAAGATTCTCGATTACAAACATTTTTGAAAGTTTTATTGTTTGTGTTATAAATCAATTATGATATTAAATTAAATTTTTTTTTTTTTAGAAGTGTTGCTAATGGCTTTATTGTTTATATCACTGATGTGGTTTTACCGATGGAAGTTACTAAAAGAAATTCGAAAACTCTGGTACATTTTACCATCAGTAAGTTTCATCTGTAATTTTATTATTTAGTTAAAATAAGTAACTTAAAGTTATAGCAGTTTACCCTTATTTGGTAATATTAAGTAGGTATATGATTAATTTTGGAAAACTCTGTTTTAATTTATCTTATGGTTATTGTAATTAAATCTTTTTTTTTTTTTAATTGTTGATGTTTTAATGCAGTGGTTCTCAACCTTTTTTTGTTCACGGAAAACTATTATACATCAATAAGTTTTCGCGGCACACTCATGTACTTGACACCAAAAACTTAGGGTACACGCTAAAATATCCAGTTTTATCAATCGATATTTTCAATTTATTTCCAAACAACTGTACAGTTTTAGAACTAAATGATTTTAATTTACACACGTATGATTTATCTGTACAGATAAATAAATGTAAAGAAACATTCTGTTTTCAATATTTTTATATCAGTCATTTTTCGGGGCACACTGGTTGAGAACTACTGTTTTAATGTTTAGTGCAAATTAAATGCATTTTATACTCTTGAAAGAAAATCTCTTTTTAAAAATAAATTTAATCTATGTTTCTATGTCCCAGGTTAGTCCCAGACTAAAACATATTTTTCCATATAATATGGTTTTTGTTAAATTAATAAAGATAAGTTTTAAAAGAGCTTAGGATTTTATAAAAAAAAAAAAACAACTTAAAATGTTATAACTAGTTTAATAAATCTTACAAAATATTTTGTAACCCATCCTTAAATTCTATAATTATTTATATACTTATTTTTAATTTTAATGTTTTAGGTTAGAAGAAGAAGTGGAAATTATAATCGTAATTTTATGGAAATTAATTAATAAAAGCTTACCTAATGTTTTATTGGTAATAAGTTATAGTATTTTCTATACATTTATTACCTACTACAGTATTAGTCTGAATAAAATGTATATAAATAATTAAACTATCTTCAAAGTTTTTATATTTTATTTATCAACAATAATTAGCTCCATTTTATTGTGTTGTGACATTTTAAATTGTGCAATTTAACTACATTTAAGATCTATCTTGCTTGATTGATGATAAATTATATCTTATAGTATGTGTAAATTGATATAATAAAAATATGTAAACTAGATAAAAAATATAGTGTATTAACTGTATAAACAAAATTGAAGTCTAAAATTGGAATATCCTGATGTTGGTTGTACAAGTAATTTGATATTACTGGTCGATTTTCTTCATGAGTCCCCCACAATTTGCATCATTTATTGCGCATTCATCAGTTGAATAATTTTCATTAAAATTCACATACAATAATGTTTATAAACTACCTGATGACATTTCCACTCAAAGGCATCAGTGAATACAGCTTTTTATTGACAAATAAATGTCATAATAAATACACAGCCGATTGATATTGTTCAAATTTATTATAATTACAAAATTATCAGGTTCATCAGTTAAAAATACTGTTACATAATAGCTCATCATAAATTTGTTTTCCTATGATTTATGAATACTATCTTATATACTCATTAATTTATATTACATAAAAAAATATGTTTTTTTAATATAAACAAATAATTATGAATGGTTAATGACAAAGAATGAACAGTCATTACAAAAAAGTAAAAACAAATTCGGAATCTCATCACTAATTTCAAGTTAAAATAGTAACAAAGTATAAAAAAATTGGTCCATATTGAAATGCAGGTGGTTTAAAATATATTATCAGGATATAATATTAAAATGAATAATAAATAAATATATATAGATTTATCTATATATATTTATATAATAATAATAATAGTGATCACAATTTGTTACGCTTAGTAATACTATAAAATATGTAGGAATGAGGGATAATTCAATAAATAGTAAATACATATTATATTATAATTAGAAAAAAATAGCTGCTAGCATTATATTGTTAATGATTTTTATAACTACACTGTTTGTTTATCTGTAGATTTTGTACGCTTCCGGCGTCTTTTCTTGCCAGTCGTATTGGAGGACGGTTTCTTTTCCTGTAATTCTCCATCTTCAGTCCCTTCTTCAATTGGGATTTCAGTTTCTGGAGTACTTAACTCGAGTGACACTATTTTCTCTTTGGTCGTCTCCACCTTGATTACAGATATAATTAGAAAAATATTGATGTATATTAACAGAGACTATGATATTGTTGAAATATATAACAATGTCTACAACTACATTATGAATACATTATATTTGTTTTAGGTATATTGGTAATATTTTCTTTTTAGACAATTATGATTTAACTACTCACATGCATAAATACAATGTAAACTGAGAGTTCAGCATTATTTGGAAAAGAGAAGAAGGCTTGTGACAATTATGAGTTAAGTTTTATTTGTATTGATAACAGCCATGCAGCATGCAATGATTAATTATTACAATTTTAATTCAATTGTGTTCTAAAGAACGGAAAATTGGTGCGAAATTCAGAAAGGAGGTACTTGATTGTAAGGTAGTAGATACCTCTTTTTCAATGACTTTTTCGATTATTTCGACGGTCCTGACTTTCAGCTGACCAGACACATGGTCAACATACTGCTCTGTCCGTAGGGACACGCTTTCTCCGACGACAGTCTCACGTTCCAACACCTTAGTCTGGACGGGGGACTCGCGCAGGCGTAGGCGGGGAAAGTCTTCGCTGGTCGGCCGCAAGCACTAATTAGCCGCCACCGAGGCCAATTAGTTTTGATATTAATATAATGTTTGTATATTAAGTTTATAAGAATTCATTGTTATGTATATGCACACAAATACATGCTAAGTAGTAACAATTATTTATTTGAATCAATAAATAAAACATATTATAAATTTAATAATCAATTTAATTAAAAAAAAAAAAATAAAATAAAAATATTTAGTTTAATTTATAATATTAATAGTTAATATTTTAAGTAAATATTTTGTAAGATAATGAATTAAGAAATCAGCAGTTAAAAATTAAGGCATAAAAACATAATAGGTTATAACTAAAAAAAAAAAAAATTATACAATTGATTTCTTCCCCCTCGTAGCATAGCTCATGGATGCTTAGTGTTAGATAAAATTATAAAGCAATGAGATGGTTTATTACTAAACATAATAAACTTAATTTTATAAATTTAAACTAAATTACCTCCAAAGTTTTGTTTTCTGTGTATTCTTTTGATTGCGTATCTGGCATTTCTTCACTATCAGCATCGCCACCATTTGTTGATTTACTCTCACTTATCTCACTTAATTCTTTTATAACAATTTGTGCTTGTAATGCATCCTAATAACATCAATATTTCACAATATAAAAAGTTCAATATCCATTAACCTAGCAATGTACTTTATTACCTGTTCTAAAGATTTCAATCTGGCTTGCCGCCATGCAGCTTTTTTTTCAGCATTGAGCGCACGTTGTTCAGAAGGAGAAAGTTCTTTATTATTTTCACATGACACAATTCCCTTAAAAATTAATTATTAATAATTCGCCTACAGAAAATAAAAATATTTGCATGTAAATATGTTACCTCTTGACTAAGTCTTTCTTTCATTCTCTTTTCAGCTTTAGCTGTTCGTACACACATATTAGCATCAACTTTTTTTGGTGGTTCAATGCTTCTAAAATATAGTTTATATGTTAAAATAATTAATTATTTAATTTTTAACATAAATAATAATAAATTAATATACTGTGTATTCTCAAATATTAAGGCACCATCATTGTCATCTTCGTCATCAAAATAATCATCTTCAACAAATTTATTTTGTTGATTTAACCTTTTCTTTATTAATGTACCCATTTTTTGCTCTGTAAAAAATTTAAAACAGTTGAGTATTAATATAAAAACAAAGTCAGGTAAAAGAACTTTTTATAAAACTAAATACCTTCTTCTTGTTTCATTTTTTCCACTTCATCTTTGCTAAGAAAACTAAATACTCTTTCTAGAACAAAATATTACACCATAAGATTAATAAGTAATTTAAATGAACAATATTTAGTTGACTGACCAGGTTTTGGACTTGGATTGTGATGTTCCTCCATAGCTTTTTCAAAAAACTTCATTTTATCACTAACGGAAGCTTTTGGACCAACATTTTGCTAAAAATTTCCAAATGTTATCAAAATTATTTTTAATACCTAGCATATATCTCACATTAACTAAACAAATATAAATATTAAACTATAATAAATACAGCTTTCTTAAATTATTCTAAAAGCTTAAGTTATCGCTACTATAAACTATAAAGTATAAAATACTGATAAATAAATTCAACACAGTATAAAGAAGATCGTACCTCGCAGGAATTATTAACTGCATTGTAATAGGTCAAAAGCGACGGGGTATCATTATAAATTTCCAACCAGTGAGGAGTAGACGGATGAGTAGAATAGTTTATAGGAGGTAGTTCTTGGGATTGAGAAGTTTCCAAGGATGAGCTACTTTCAACATCTGTGAAGTCTGGAACACAGTATTGGTCAGCTGGCAATGTATTGACTTTGGTAACATAAGGCATCATTTCTACTCGAGTAGGTTTTGGTTGTTCCACAACTATTGTTCTTAGAGGAGGGTTGTCACAAGGAATATTTTGGAAGTGTATATGTTTTGATGGACGGGTAGATTTGGACAAAGGTGGTTTAGGAGGAGATATATTAGATCGTTTCTGAATAACTACCTGTTAATGTTCATGCAAAAAATAATAGCAATGTTAATGTATTTTGGCTGCATTATTTTTTTAATAAATGAGTAAATAAATATTGGATAGTCCAATTACATTTCTTGTTTACACCGATTATGTCTGAAGTTACAAGCATGCTGATTAATAATTATGATCATAAGATATTCAGTAGTATGTGCTTATTTTATAGCTGGTATATTACTATATAATTATATATAATATTATATGCTATAAAATTACACAAGGAAAAAAGTATTTTATTTAAAAACAATGATATAAATTATTACTATGGAATAATAATCATAGAAATTTGTTTAGGAAAGGTGGTTAAAACTTAACAATAAAAACAAAAATATGTATATGTATATCTGTATATAAACAAAATTAATATAAAATGAAAAATGGTTTGAGGATTAACAATTAAAAATTAAAATATATAATATAAATGTATAATAAAGAAAATAATTAAATTAATATAAACTAAATTATAAAATGTAATGGTCCGCTTGATGTCGTAAAATTAATTATTATACTTGTGAATGGAATTACTCACTTGGTATTTATTCATAAAGTATAGTATTTATACTTAAACCTTATAATAAACTTAATAATAGTATGAGAAATATCCTTTAGTAATTAATACTTAATGAAATGCGATCACAAAATACTTAAAATCAAGAATATAAGAAAAAAAAAAAAAATACAGAGTAAATATGTAATATATAAATTTGTACAAATTAGAACTAGCTTAAAAATATAATGGGATTAAACGAGAAATGCCCCTGTATTATTTTTGCGATGTTATAATCCAGTCACAGACTTAATGACACACTGAAAATAATAAATGTTATTTTATATTTGGGAACTGAATATTAATAAATAATTCATAGTTTTCTCGATCTTAAATTTTAAAATAAATTGAATAAAATCATTTACTTAAATATTATGTAACAAAGAAATAAAATATACATATGAAAGTAAAAAAAAGGAGTATAAATCATTTATATATTTACAATTATTAAATTTATACTAGGATATAATATTTAAATGTGCATTATATAAGTACAGGCTTAATAATATTATTCCTTTCATTGCAAGATTTATTAATTTTTTAATGTAAATATTTTATTTTATTAATTTTTTATTAATTCATATATACAATATTTTTATAATAAAAGAATATTTATTAAAATTGATTAGTAATGATGGATTAAATTAATTAAATTGGATTAAATTAATGATGCATTAATTCAATAATACTAAAAAATATATTATAAAGAATATTTGATTTGTGAAATATTATTATAACATTTAAATATCAGGAAAATGATATTAAAATTTATATGTATTTTACTTACTCATTATTTTTAATAATATTCTACATTTCAAACATTTAGAAAACAAAGTTACATATAATTTTGTAAGTTATAAGTGTATGAATAAAGTCCAGAAAGTATTTAATATTTATTGGAAAATGGATTTGTATACTTTTTATAACAGTTAATCTAATTTGGAATTAATTTAAAATATAAAATGGTAAGTTATAAAAATAAATCTAATATTAATATATCTTGTAAAAATACTGAAATTTCAAGAATTCATAAATCAATACAATTTACATTAATAATTAAAAATAGTTATCTTGACTTAAAATGAATAAATAAATAAATAATTAAACGAGAACTTAAACTTATAATTTTATTTTTTATATAGATAATAAAATTTACAATTCTTGTATTATACTAACACTAGAATTCTTAAGATCGAGTCAAACTTAAGGGATATAGAATAAAGTTATTACATTTCAGGAAAAAGAATGAATTCAATAACCATGCAATATAATTAAATAATTATATGATATATATAATACGATATAAATAAGCATTTTATGAAACAGAATTCTATTTTTCTTCTTCTAGAGAACAAAAAAAAAAATTTAAAACATGGTTTGAGAAATTCTAAAATAAATGTATCAATAATTATAAGTATGTAATATTTGAAAATTGAATATATATACACACATTCAAAAAATCTTAAATCAATAAATAAAATAAAAAGAATAAAAAAAAATTTAAGTTGAATTCTAATTATTCGAATTCTAATTTATAGAATTTATTAAAAATAAATTTTAGAAATGGGATTTAGAATAAAAAACGATATTTCTCACGAGAAAATTCAAGGCAACGTCCAGTTACTCACTATACGTTTGTTATTATTTATTAATCAAATTTTAACTGAAATTAAGATCTATTTTTTTTTAATCTATAACCTATGAAATATTATTTATATATAACAGTATATTTAGGTTTTAAAAATACTTTACATACATACATACTTAATTTCAACAATACACAATAATATAATATATTTCATATATACATTTGTACAGTGATTATTTTATTAAGGGATTAAAGATTAATGAAAGTTTTTAAAAGTTTATAGTTAAGGAATATTTTTTAATTAACAGTTTTTTCATTTTTTTGTATGTTTATAACCAATTTTTAATTTCATAATCCAAAATACATTTTTTAGAGAATTATTATAAATAAATGTTGAACTAATAGATTCATATTTAATACAATTAAGTTTGATTCTTTTGAGTAGTAACAATATTTAATAATAAGTAAGAAGTATACATAAACAAATAAACAATTTTTCACAATAAAATTATTTGCTTCAATGAATAAAATAATCACCATGCATAGTATGCACATAAGCTGTATTAATATTTAAATTTATTTATTCATTATAGTTCAAATGTTATTGTAATTTTATTTTATTATTATTATTATAAATTTTTTTTTTTTAATTAACTTCAAAAAATTTATTATGATATTTTTTGAAAGTCAAATTTAAAAGAATATTTCATTTATATTTTATAAATTTAAAAATAATTGAATAAATTCATTTTGCATTTTAAATATTGATAATAAAATTAAAATTATGTAATTTTATAAAATTTTTAAATATTAAAATTTTGAAATTCAATAACTCCAACCAAAGATTTTTAAAAAGATAAATAATATAAATATATTTAATATTGTGTATTTTTTTTTAGCAAAAATTAAAAAATAATTGAAATAAAATAAAAATAAATACAGCAGCAGTGCTTATAAAAGTAAATTATAAAATAATAAACTTAATATATACAACATTAATTTGACAATAAAATTACATTAATTAATATTATTTTAATGCTTTTTGGAAATCATTCAACAGAACAATCTTTCACAGTTCTATCTAATATATCTTACGTAGACAAACAAATGCAGTTTGTATAAGAATACATACACTTTCTATATTTATTAAAAAAAAAAAAATTTATAGCAGCCAAAATAAGCACATGCTACGCAATTTAATTTAAAAGCGGTATCTTCACACCACAAAAAAATCTACCAAAGCACATGACAGTATTAAATGTTTTCTTTATTTATATTATCAATATTTGTGTACTTACTTTATCAGCTTGAGGGGCTAAAGTATGTTTACTCATTACAATTGTAGTGGTTTTTTGTATATCACCTGATTTTGGGCCACCAGGTGATTTAGGTTTTACAGAGTTTGGTTCTGATGAATTCAGCGTTAACATTTCAGCTGCTCGTACTACATCTAAAACCTAATAAATAATAAGTACGTAAGTATATCACACTGATACCAAAAATGATAGTTGTGATCTATTGATAAAAATTAGGGCTAGGTATTTATAGGAATTTGCATGTTTTTCAATAATCATTCAAAACATAGCAAAGTAATAAAGACATATGTTTCATAGTACTAGAAATTTAGCGATCATTTTTATTTTGCATATTTTGTATATTTAGCTTCTTTTTCCTTATAATCTCAGATTTTGTTATATTTGTATTTAAATTAAATATTTAATACATAATATATATACTTATACATTTTCTAGAAATTGGAAAAAAATAGATTAAAATGTTTAAATACAAATTATTAGATAATCTATCTACTGTGTGTTTTCTCAATTATTTGGGTGTTGTGAAAAATCATTGACTATTTCTGATGAGTTTATTTCTGTTATAAAAATTGTTAAAAATAATATTACAAAGTCCACAAGGAGAAAAATGAAGAACTATTTATAAAAAACTAAAAAACATACTGTCGAAAAATGAATGATTTAATATTATTGAAAACATTTCTAATATTTTAGAAGAAACAGACAATTTTATGGAATATATCTTGAAGACTTGTAAGTCAACAACTTAAATAATAATAAAAATAATAAATAACAACTATCAATTCACATTAAATTATATATATCAATTAACATCTGTTGATGCCAAGAGTTTATTTTTGAGGTATAAAAATGTATAAGTGAACAATTGTCACTCATTGACATTTGAAAATACAGTAGTCTCGCTAATCCAGACTATATGGGATCGGACTCTAACCAGATTAAACGAAATGACATTTTTTTCAACTTACTAATAAATATTAAAAAAAATTTAAAAACACCTTATTTATAAAAATTCCAAATGTTTATAAATACACAATCACTATAAAACCATACAACAGTTTAACTGATTAACTGAGTGAGAAACAATAATAATATTACAATATATAATTGAAACAATAAAATGTTATATATATCAATTATGTATCAATAACATACCTACTTTTTATAATAAATAACAGTCAACATTGACATATATAATTTTTATACTATATTTATGTGTACATATAAATACATAAGTATTAAAATAGGAAATATAAATTGCCCAGATTATCCAAACTAGCAATGCACGGAGGATTTGCGAGACTCTACTATATTCGAAAAATGTTAATCACACAATACAATTAATTTTTGTGAGATTGTAAAAATTATTTAATCATAAATATATTATGTATATATGTAATTGAAATTTTAGTTTTTGTTTTGTTTAAAGGCGATCGATCTTACAGAAGAAAATTAAATTAAGAAGAAGAATAAAAATATTTTTAAGACATAAATGCATGCATATTTTAAGGATTTTTAGAGCATGAAGCCTCTAGCCCTTATAAAAAAAAATAAAAAATATTTACTTTTTCTTGAGTTGATTTTTCTTTAACCTCATCTAATTCCATATTTTCAAGTTCTTCTTTTAGTAACTTTTCTTGATTTTCCCATTCAGCTAATTCTTTTTTTATTTCCATTTCTTGTTTAATTACTTCGGAATCTTCGTCATCTCTATCTAAGCTAGACACACTTTGAGAAATTGATCTACTATCTCTTCTAAGTTTGCCTTCATTGACCAGTCTTTCAACTTCTGCCTTATCGTATCCTTTGCATACAATCATATGTATTTGCTGACCAGCAGTTCGCAAGCAATTTACAGCTTCTTGATGGGTGACACCCAACAAAGATACATCATTCACTTCCAAAAGACGCAAACCAACCTTATAACATTGAGGTCAATAAAAATTATTATATTTGAAGTAAAAAATTATAATTCAATTTTACCTTTAATCGTCCATCTCTTTTGGCAGCTCCACCGGAGTTAATTTTTGATATGAATACACCTTCATCAGTTTTATCAAGTGGGTTACCTCGATGTCCACGAAGACCACCCTTAATATGCATACCAAGTTTTTCATTGGGTTCTCTGATAATAGTCAGTTCCTATTAAAAAATTAATTACAATTTTTTCAATAAATAAATATATAAAACTGTACTTCATACAACTCATATTGTGATTACAAAAGTATTGAGAATCATTAATGAAGCTTCTATATTTATTAAGTATTTGAACTTTTAAACTCTAAGAATTGATATTATATGACATAACATTTTTAAGTACTTGAAAATTATCTGGAAGAGGATCATGTTGGACTGTAAGAGTAATTTCTTCAGTGGGTTTCAAAAGAGTTAATACAGCATCTTGATGTGTCATTTTTGTTACATCTTCATCATTTACTTTTAATAAACGATCACCCATACGTAATTTTCCTGAACTCTCAGCAATACCATTACGAACAATCTATAATTTATGAAATCATATATATATGTTACAGGCAAAGTATACAATTTGGGCGAATAGATAACGGATGATATGATTTAATGAAATATGATAAATCGAAAAACATAGTTACAATAAAGTCAAATTATTATCTAAAAATTATTATCTGTAACTAGTTTGTTTTTATCGTATTTTTACAATAAGGATGTCCGCTTGTCTACATATTATATGCGTGTACGTGACATAATATATTATTACTATATTTACTGATTTATAAGTTATATTATATGAAGTTGTCGTGATTATCATGCAGTCAGTCTTTTACCTATTCTCAAAAATGAACTATTTAGTAACCATGAATCATTTATACAGTGTAGGTTAATTCTTCAGTGTGTACCTAACTACTTATTCGAATATGAAAAAGTTTAATAAAGAATTTGTTAAAAAATAAAGGTTCAAATACTTCATTTTTTACCAAGTTAAAATATGATCAATTAATATTACATATAAATCAATAAAAAACAATTCAAAGAAAAAGGAACCGAATAATTATAAACTTTTAAATAAATATGACATATTAAGTTTCTGATGTTAACAAATTAATTGTACCAGTATCTGAAAAAAACGAAATTAAAAATTATGTACATGATGAAGAATTATTTTATGTTATACATAAGATTCATTTGTCGATTGCACATGGTGAACGAAACAAGATGGAACACGAGGTAAATATAAAATATAAAAATATCACCAAAGATATGATTATGCTATACTTAAATAGTTGTGAATTGTGTAAAAATAAAGGAAGCTCAGCCATCAAAGGATTGGTGGTGCAATCAATTATATCTACTGAGATGAATTAATGAATAATATGTCATTATTCATTGATTTATAACATTTCATTAAATCTGTTATCTATATTGCCCAAATTGTATACTTTGTCCGTAATATATATACACACACACATAAATATTAAATTAAAACTATTTATAAATTTATAATACTGTTATTTACGTGAGAGATAAAAATTCCATGTTCTTGAAGTCCAAATGGAATGCATGGATGATCTGTTCCTCCAATGATACTGAAGCCCCAAGAACCACCTTCTTTCACTAAAGTGACGGTCTAATTAAACAAAAATGTTTACCATTCAATTATAAAAAAATAAATATTTGCAAGTTTATAAATATATTATTAATTATTTTTGTAAATTGACACACAAACATTTGTTTATAATATAAATAACATGATACATAATTTTTCAAATCTACGTGAATGATATACCTACCTGAATTCTTCTTTAGAACCTTCACCGTGCTGGCATGTTTAAAAATCAAAATAAATGGTAAATATTTAAGTTTCTTTAATTCAAAAGCAGTGTTTCTCAAAATTTAGTATTTTGAGAGAGCTGCATAAACCAAAACCAAGCAATCAAATCATTTTCCATCATAATATCAAATGTTGACTAAACTAATCTTGAAATAGAATGTAAATTATTATTTGAAAATATTAACTTGAAATTATGAATACGTTTTCATATTTTAATTTTAATAGTAAAATGAATATGTCATTTTAGTCCATTACATGTACTATTAACTATGGTTTATTATGTATATCATAATTAATTTTAATTCATAATGTTATATAAATACAGCAAAAAAAAAAAAAAAGTTTTGATTTTAGGTTTAAATTTAAAATAAGATGACCAAATAAAAATGTTTGGTTGTAAAAAAAAAGTAAGTTGTACGTTTTGTAGTATTATGTTTGGTATATTTTTTAAAAATCAATAAATTGAAATAAATTACAATTATTTTATTTATATATTAGTAATAGTTAAAATATGTTTAGTTTTAGAAGATTATTGTACTTAATAAGTGAATAATTGAGAAAATAATAAAAATTATTATAATATACAATTTTATATACTTCTGAGTGAAATGAGGAAAGTATTTTTATATATTTAATGAATTTACCAAAATAAAATAAAATTATGTACAAAATTAAATACAAAAGAAATCTTATAAAAAGAGCAAATAATATTATACGAAATGCAATAATAATAGTTAATAGGACAGCATACCAGTTTTAGGAGTTATTAAAAATAAATCAGAAATAGATCATGCAGTTTAGTGGTAAAATAATAAAAAAAGTTGTATAAACTCATGTTTGTGTGTCAAAACAAAAAATATACAATACATTGGAATTTTATACACAGATATGGTTTAAAAACAAAATTATTAGTTAAAAGTAGATCAAATAATTAAAATAATAATTCAGAAAATAATTTTGTGCAAAGTAATTTGATATTATTAAAAAAAAAATAAATAATGTTATAAACATTATTTATTTTTAAACCACACACACATACAACATATATGTATAAACACTTCATGCATATTTGTTATGTCATTTTTCATGCCCTATCTTTATATATATGATAATAACAAATTTAACTATACACTATCAGTAAGGATTATTCACTAGGATATCTATGTCATGGCCCATCATGCAATTTTTTAATGAATAAGTAAACATAATTATAAGTTACTAAAAAATACATTATTTACTTAATTTAAAATAAATTTATATACAAATATTGTTCTTAGTAATTGTTAACTAGATTTATCTCTTCCTTTGACTTATTAATTTGTAGAACAAGTTGCATTTCCTATACTCGCCATTGAACACCATTACCAACACCAACATCAGGACCACCACCACCACCATCAAATTTAATGTTAAGTTTATAATAACAATAAATAATTCATTATTAATTTACTTACCTCGATAATGACAGAATTTGGCAAACTGTTATCTGTTACCCTAGTCACCACAGTTTCAGTAAATGTGCTTTTGGTTATAGTTTCAGTGACACGACCTAAAGTAGTTGGACTATCTTTGAACTCTATCCCATTCAAATTGCTAGGTTTTTTGATAGTTAGTGTAGTAACTACAGAAACTGGTTGTTCTTCGACTTGATTTTTAATATTCTTTTGAAAACGTTGAGGAATCATAGCTTCAAAATCTTCATTGGTCAATGGTTTAGGCTATTATGATAGCGAAACAAGGTACCCCAATAAATGTTTCATTAGTAAATAGTTATACATTAAGAATCAAAAAGAGGTGCAACAAATCCATTACAAAGTTTGTGTGTCAATCTAATATTAAGCTTAATATAAAAAATTTACTTGTACACTTTCAGAATCTGAACTAATAGACGATGACTGAGAAACCAATTTTCTAGGTGCAGGTTTTGGTGGAGTTTGTGGTGGTGCTGGAGGAGGAGTTTTCGGAGACATGTATGAACGAGATTTAGTGGGCACAATGCTCGGTGAAACAGAGTTGTGAGATTCTGAATCGGAATACTGGGTATCAACTAGTCGTTCACAAACTAAACGCACAAAGCGTTCTAACCCAGTTAACATTGATACAGCTTGATCATGACGGGCACCAGTTACATCAATACCATTTATCTTGAATGAACAATTAAAATAAATTAAATGGATAAAAATCGTATGAATCATAAAATAAAAATTTAATATTTTTTATACCGATATAACTTGATCTCCAACTTGTAATTTTCCATCTTTTTCAGCAGCACCACCTTCGGTAATTCTTGATATGAAAATTGCCTATAAGTATTATCAATTTTTGTTTATATTAAGCTATAAAATTTAATATTATCATTACCTCTGTGTTTTCTTTAAAAGGTGTACATCCTTTTCCACCAGCTATACTAAAGCCAAGACCATTTTGATCTCTGATTAATGTTGTATAAACTATTTGTTTTTTCGTTGAATCTAGTTCTTTTAAAAGTTCAGGCGTTTTACGATTCTTAAAAGAAAAAAAAATATTAATTATTTTTTAAATTAAATTTTTAATATGAAATAATATTATTGTATTTAAATCATTAAGTTACCCTATCTGAAGTATGGCCATTAGTATGTTCGTAATTATGATGTGAAATTACACTTGCTGCACGACTATTATTCAAACTAGATGATGCTGAGTCTCCTGGAATATGTATAGCCCAATCTTTTGGATGTGGGTGAGTTTCTCTTAGTATTTGAAGAACTAAAACTGATCCACAAGAACGTAAAACCTCAACAGATGTATAATGATCAACATCCACTAAAGAGTGACCATTAGCTGTAAGGACTTTATCTCCAACCTAAGCACAATAAATAATAAAAATAATATTTTCATTTAATATTATTAATAAATATAAATATTTACTCGGAGTCCAGCTAGTTCAGCAGGTCCATCAGGTGTAAGCCTAGACACGAAAATGCCTTCATCATTTCCTTTAAAAGGGGTTGAATTTCGACCACCAGCAATTGATAATCCTAAACCAGCAGATGTTCTTTCAATTTTAACTTCCAATAGTTCTTCTTTTCCAATCATTTCACCATCTAAAATAAGAATTACATCAAATATATTTTTATAAGAATAGTATATAAATATTATCTTAATAACGGACCGCATGATTTGTAAGTTAATATTCTAACACGTTTAGGATAAGTTTTTTTCTTGGTATTTGGAATAGGTTTCACAGATGACAAAAAAATTGATTTCATTTTATATATTAGAAATATTAATAATGAACTAAAACACAAAACAAGCTTATTTACCTAGAACAGTATGATCTACTAATGACTCTGGTGGAGTGGGATATAATACAGCACTTTTATCTTCAGATAAGGAGTTTAACATTTTTTCATTTTCATTGCTAATCAATTGTGCTTCCTGTGATAATAAACATAAACAGAAAAATTAAATCAAAACACTCAAGAACAATAAACTAGGTTAAAAAAAAGGTAAATTAATAAATTAATTAATATGTCATTTATTTAAATTAAAATACATTTTTTAATTAAAATTATACCTGTTGTTCAATTAAATTAGCATCTATAGTGATTCTTTTATTTTTTAAATGATGAGGTGTATCTCTCCTATGCAATTTTAAAGGCCTATTTTGAATATCAGCATCAAAATTTGAAGATGGATGAAAAACTACACTCTTTTCCTTTAAAATGTACAAATATAACAGGTTATAATTTATTTAGTTATAAGTATTTAAATAAAGCATATTAACAATCTCAGAAAAGAGAAGTATATATATTTTTTATAAAAAAAAAATAAAACATTTCGATAACTCGTCTAAAATGTTACTTACCTCATTTTTATAACATACTATTTAAAATATCTGTCATTCGGTTTATGAAAATTGAATTATGAAAAAATGATTAATTATGTATTAAATTATTGTTTTTTTATTCTGCAGTGTGATAATTATTTTATCATTAATAGTAATAAAAGTAATTAAATTTGGCTATAGATGTTCAAATAACTATAGATTTTATACATTTATTATTATACTGGATTCATAAAAAAGTTTATATTGGTCCTCATATTGAAACTTTAATTTAAACAATAAAGATAATAAGAAAGGGGGCATAAGAAGATTAAAAATAAAACTATGACATAAAAATAAGAAAGCTGTTTTTGTAGAATAAAATTAAAATATCTTTAAAAATGATAAGTAACACATAATGGGTAAGACATATGAAACTGAAAACTAGAATGTGTTGATAAAAAGATATTATACTAAATGAACATATATATGAATAAAAATAATTTTTTTTAGTTATAATTTTTGTAGACAGTATACTATTAAGAGTATATAGATATATATTAAACACTAGTAGCAAATTAGACAAGTACCAAATTATTAAATCAAAAATTTAATTATATCTAAAAATTATTAGTTAGTTAAACATTAATAATATAATTATCATTGAACTAAGGATATATGATTTGTTTCAATAGACAATTAGAAATGAAATATAATAATAGTATACCTCATTTGTTTCTTCTTCTAAAATACTATTTATTTCTACAATTGATTCTACTTCTTCTGAATGTTTGTCATTTAAAACTTCATTTTCATTGCTTTTCTCCTGTCAATTATTACAGTTAATGTAACATTAATTTTAAAAATTGTATTGCAAATGAAATATATTTACTTACAGTAGAATCGTCTCCTTTTTGACTGTCAGTTAAACTGCTTTCATTACTTTTGGTCTTACCAAACAATTTTGTTGCTTTAGCTTTCAATTCTCTGGGGTGTGGTGTGTTGTGACGAACAAATGATGTCTAAAAATAACAAACATATACTAGTTAGGATACTGAATTACTAGAGATGAATGTATTTTTTATTTTTATGAGGTTGGGACAAGGTCATCAATCAATGAATAGAATTTAATTAACCAGCTCATACTTAATGCTACTTATTTAAATTAATGTTCTTATACACCTAAACATTTATAATTATTATAAGATTTAAAATTTATTATAAAGTAAAGAAGAATAAAATAAAACGTATATCTTTAATTATTTTGAAATTAATTTTAATATCACTTAAATAATCAATGAAAATAAAAATAAAAATTATAGATAGAGGTTTGAAAGTCAAAAATTGATTAAAAAATAGGAAATATATAGTAAGACAAAATAAAATTATACTTTAATTATTGAATGAAAATAAAAAAAGTACATTTTTCAAACTATCGAATTTCCAAATAATTTTTGTTGTTTTAACTTGAAATTTAAAATATTTGGTAAATTTAATTACAGTAATAAGGCAAGATATGACAGAGTAATTAATTTGTTGCTGGCTTGCTCTAATGAAGCCATTCTTCTGGTCACTTGTTCTTGGATCAATGAGAGAATATAATATTGCAATAACATATCAGCATTTATTTATTATTAATAATCTCTACGCATTTGGATTTCAAATTTTCTGAATTTAGCTGTAAAATATTTTTAATTTAAAATGAAGTACTCAATATACAAAATTCAAGCAACTATCAAAGTAAGTACTTTAGCAAATCTTTATTAAGTACTTCAATTAAACCTATATATATATATAATAATTACATTAATGTATAATACTAATCACCTTATGACTAATTAACAGTGTTGGGAATAGATAACTATTATCTAGACAAAGATAACAGAAACATTTTATTTATCTAGATAAAAAAAAAATATACAACTCCTTTTTTGTATACTTGATATAAACTTCTGCAGTTGCATAGCCAGAAATTTCCTTTTGGTGGGAACCACTAGATTAAAATTTAAAAATGGTATTTTATACCATATAATATTTAGCTTTGTTTGTATACTACACAGATCAAAGAAGGTTGGGCCTCTTGGAAACTTTAAATATGACACTGGAACGATGTGCACAATTTTCCTTTAAAAATTCAAAAATTGTAGAGCACATAATATTACTTACACCATTGATTTTATAATCTATTAATAAATTGTTTTAAATAAACTTTATCTATCTATTATTTATTAGTAAAATAAAAAAAACAACAAAATATATGTTTAGTTTTAATATTTTGTATTAACACATCAAGCATACTTATTGTTATAATGAAATATCTTAAAATATTATTTAAAATGGTAGGTATAGAATAGAGGTCTTAAAATACGTGTCACGGAATTCACGTGTACACGTGAAATATATGTTTATCCAAAATATATATCCATTTTTACAATGGTAAAATTAGTAATTTTATGTTATACACTTGAAGTTTTAATAAAATATTAATAGTACAGTATTAAGTTAAGGATATACATTTTTATTTTGGATTTTACACGTGACACGTGACACGTGAATTCCGTGAATTCACGTGTATTAAGAGCTGTAGTATAGAATACTTATGAATTACAATATTTATAATTTAGAAGAAAAAAACATTTACATATATTTCTAAATAATAATTTAACTAAAAATATGCATTTAGATTTTATTTATTTGTTAGGAAAAGTTAAATAAAAATCAAATGATGAAGTTGATACACTTTTGGATATTTTAAAATCATTTATATTATTCATAGATATTCCACCCAAAAATCGCTTTATGCTGAAATATTTTAAATATCTCAAGTTAAAAATTGAAATAAGAAGGTAAAAACAACAGAACACAAGACAACAACAAATGAAAATGACAGTTATGGTTTCATTGTACATATAATTTGTTGTATAACTGTGAAATTGTGTTCTGATAATAAGATTCTATAATAAAATCTTAACTCTTAAGTATATTTTATTATTATGTTTATTGTATAGTAGTTGTATCAACAAAATGTATAAAGATATTATTGGGGCATAATTGCATATTATATATAATATACGAGTATATATATATAATGTACAATAGATATATCTCATAATTAGGGCCCAGATTTAAATGCACTTAAAACCATACAATATGCTCTAAAAAATAGCCAAAAATGTCCTTAAAAAAATACATTTTACCACAAAAATAATCTTTAAAAATGACATATATTTTTTTATTTTGAGCATTAAACACACTATTTAATATATTAAAATCACAAATACATGTAGTATGATCGCAACGTCTGCAATTTAACACAAACTGACTGAATATTTGTTGTTTGACTGAATACTAGTGATGTTCCACAGTCAATAATAAATTATGATAAGATAAAAACTGAAAATAAAAATAAAAATTGACAATGTATATGGAAAAATCCAATAAACCTACTTAAATATCAAGGAAATAATTTATCTTTTGATTTTATTTTGAATAGGCTAAATTTGTTTAGTATCAAATACGATTGAGCGACGGCACGCAACAATTGAATAAATATGCATTAAAAACCAACAAATGACCCAATAATACTAAAAATGCTCTATAAATGAAAAAACGCAAAGTTAAATTTGTAGCTTTGAAATCCTTTTTACATGAAACAAATTATGTTCATAGAATGCATTGTGTATGATCAACCAAAAAAATATGCACTTTGCATTAAAAACCGGGCCCTACTTAAAATATAATATATAACTGCAGCAGTTGTGCAGTCAACGTCTGCGGGCCGTATAAGAGACAGACCTGAATGTTTTCAAGGGTAATTCCAAGGGATATACATAATATTATACATTGCAATAAATATTATTAAATAGTAAACACAGAAATACGTTATCATTATTATAACAAGAATAGTATCTAACTAGTTATTAGTATTTTATAAATTGTGGTGTTTTTTTGCTGTCACGACCGATCAGAAATAACTAATAACCTGCAGGTACATTAAATTAATAAATTAAAAAAACACAACATACAACAATTATTGGCTACTAAGTACTAACTATCAAGAGATATTTAATACTTGTAGCTGCTTTAAATTACTATTATATATTTTCTATATCTATTATATTTATATAGGTATATTATTATGGTTTTCAAACATAAAATGTAAAAATGTATTTAAGTACCTACTTTAATATTAAATAAATACTTATACAAAAAACTATCTAGATAAATCCCAACACTGCTAATTAATAATTACTTAAATTACATTCAATTTATCATATAGTATGTTATAATAGAAAATTATAATACAACTAGTTTTAAAAAAAATCTTACATTTGTATTGGGTTCAGTCTTAATGTCTCCAGTGAACTGAACAGAAGTTGTTCTTGAATTTGCTTTATTTTCCCATTCATTATCTTCTGTTTCACTGGTTGGCTCCTCATCTGGTGGCGAGCACAATGATTGGTCATAGTCACCAGTGATCAAGCCTACAAAGAATGTGCATGCCATGCGCGCAGATGTAGTAAGCATAGAATGTGCTTAGATTATAATATAGGTTTAAGTACGTGTAGATAGTAGCACAACAGAGATTACATAGACATTATGAAATTATCAACTTAATTATTTTAATACATTTTGCGTCTAAAGAAAAGAAATTTGAAATTATATCAAATAGAACTACGTGAGAAATAGATTAAATAAGTATAACTAATACTATAGTTGCTTTAATTAAAAATATTTTACTTATTTTAAGATTTTATAGGGCTATATAAAAATGCCTTTTTACTTATTTGTACATAAAACAAATTTAACATAATATTACAAAAATAGAAAATGTATAGTAAGAATACATATTTGCAATATTATGTTTCTGTAAAAGTAAAAAAATAAAATAAAAATATATATCCGTGCATAAGTTGTACATGCTACTTTCTATAGCGTTTTAATTAAAAATGTATTTTTATAAATATATATATATATAAAATATATGTATAATTATAAACCATACCATTTGCTTCTCCTCTAATTTCAAGTTGAGGCAACAAAAAACATGTAAGTACTTGTTCACCAGTTTTTTCATCTTCATCAGTTTGAAAATTGAGCATTGGTTGAGCTTGATTCTTTGAAAGCCAAACTGCCTTTAAATTTAGGCTAGCCAAAGAAAATGGCAAATATTGTAAACTAAAAATAAAGATTATAGTTTATTCAAAATAACATACTGAACAAATATCACTTTTTGTATTACTTGTTTCCCGAAACATCTAATACGTGCAATTCAACACAATTTCCAACTTCATTAGGAAGATATTGTAATTTGTTATCCCTTAATGATAAAATACCCAATTGACATAAATTACCTAGAACAATATTAAGCAGGTTGAAAAGTAATATTATATGATAGAAAATAAGTGTTCAATTTAAGGTACAGTTAGTAGCATAATATAATAAATATTTTTATAAACATTTAAATCAATCAATTAATTAATTAATTTTAATGAATAAAATTATTTGTAAAAATGAAAATATTTTTTTTATACAAATAAAATATTCACTATGAAATATTACTACACAGCTGTCAAATAAATTACTGGTTATCAGAAGTTTTTGAAATTTTTAACTATATTAGAATAATTTGTTTAAATTTTATAACAATGGTAGATCATTGAATCTGAAAAACAATTCAAAGTATATGACAAAATAATATAAGTTTAATGAAAATTATTATGAATTCAATGATGTTTTGAAAATATGTAATTAATTAATTTTGTGAACTAAAAAAATATCATAAATAGTTTTAATTAAACACAATTTTTTTATGCATTTAAAAATTTAAAAATAAGCTAATTAATAAATTAGAGCTAAATATTTAAAGATAAAAATGATTATATAATTTAATTTATTAAAGAATATTAAGTTCTAGGGAAAAAGTGTAACTTTTTCTATAATTTTCAATAAAATGTTTCAACGCAATAACTAATTCGACTAATTAATTTGATATTTAATCAAAAGCATATACACCTAAAAAATTATCTGAACTATCTAAATTAAATATTATAATTATATAATATATTAGTCATGAGCCACTAGGAAATTATAACTAGAATCATATAATAATTTTATTTATTTTCAACTGATTTGATTTTTAGACAAAATTAATTATGAACTAATTATAATGGTTATTAGGTAATATTTACCAATATCTGTAGGTAGACAATGAAGACTATTTCGATCAACATTAAGATTAGTAAGATTTACAAGTTTACCAATTGTCACTGGTAATTCTACTAAAAAATTTTCAGTTAGTATTAGTTCTTGAAGATTTTCACAGCTGTAATTAAAAAGAGTTTTAATATGACAAAATTTTACTTAAGTTAAAGATTAAATAAGTTTTTTATGGTTTAAAATCATTTGAGTTAATTATTTAAACATCAAAATTACTAATATTAAATTTTATATTTAAAAAAATCAAGTTTACTTACCACCCTATGCGGTCATTTAACATTGTTAATCTATTTTGGTCTACTTTTAAGATCATAAGACGAGTAAGTTCACCAATACCATTAGGAAGGATTTCAATTACATTTTGGGATAAATGTAAATCAGTTAAATTTTCTAGACCTCCAATTTCTTCAGGAATGTCTTCCAAACGGTTTTCAGAAACATCTAGACAAGCTAATTGCTTAAGATTTCCTATTTCCTAAGTAAAACAAATTATACATTCTAATAGAAATAATACATTTAGGTAATACAAATTTGAATAGTATAAAATTATAATTACGGCAGGTAAATGCTGTAAGTGGTTATGGTCCAGCCAAAGTTCTTGGAGAACTGGAAGATTACCAATGTGATGTGGCTAAAATATTTAAAACATGGATAAGAATAATTGTATTTTTTTTTTATTAATCTTAAGAAAAAAGACAATAGATTCTCACCAGATGATCTATTTCATTATCACCTAAATCTAATCGTTCTAATCGTGTTAATTGTGACAATGATAATGGTAAAGATGTCAAAAGGTTCTCTCGTAGCTCTAGAGATTTCAAATTGGTTAGCCTTGAAAATAAAATAAAATAAATTTAATGATAAAGAGGAATTTAGGTATAGTTAAATAATAAACATAAATATGAAAAAATATGAAATATAAAAATAAATAAATAAATAAAAGCTTAGCCTGATGTATTATTATATTTGTAAAGTACGACCGATTTCAAATTAAAAATTCACCATTAAGTACATACATAGTTAATGAAATTGTGACTATGAAAAATTACAATTTAGTCATGATTTTATTTTTTCATATTCAGTTGCAATTTTATTAACTATTTATATACCTTATGATGAATTTTTAATTTGAAACCAATTGTACTTTACAAATATAATAATACTTTAGGGCCTAGAGTATTATTATATTTGTAACCTAGTGTCTAGGCTGAGCTTTTATTCAGTTATATATTAATTTACGAGAATTAACCATTTAATAATTTTTAATTTTAATTACATTTATTATTATTTTATTAGGAAAATAAATACTGTATATATTAATAGATATTGGATATTAAAATGTTTTAATTTTAAATTAAATATAAATTATACATAATGGTAAAAAGTAATAATAATAAATAATTATAAAAAATGTTACATATAAGAAAATTATTTTATAATGTTAACTTTTTTTAAAGGTTTGTAATTAGTTTAAATGCTTTAAAAATTATGACAATTTATAAATGATATTCAAATGACTTACAATGTAAAATGTATACAAATATATTATGTTTTATGTTAATTTATAACCATACAATTTGATTGAATAAAATTATGAATTATAGGTTATTTAAATTTCAATAATTAAATTAAATTAAAGAATATTATATATTCTTAGAATACTATATATTCTTTTTCGTCAACAAAATATTTTAAATTAATTTCACAATAATTGTAAATACAGTTTTAGGTTTAATAACTTACAGTCCAAAATCTGCAGGTAGATTACTTAATGACATATCATTAAGTCCTAAAGTAGTGAGATTATGTAGTTGTGAGAATCCTGATGGTAATCTAAAATAATTAAATAAAAATAATAGTAGTAAAATATTAGTATAGTAATATAAAACTATACATACTTAGGTATAGGATTACTACTGAAGTCTGCAACTTGAAGTAGTCTAAGACTTCTGATTTCATCAGGAATATCAGGTATGTCTAAAATATTGAAAATGTACAAATAATGGTTCACAATTATACCTAACATGTTTATTAATAATTATTAATTTTGTAAAGATGACTTTTTCTAAAAATAGAAAAGTCCCATCGCTCTTAATCTTATCTTAAAAAATAAAACAACTAATTAAAATTAACTTTAACAATATTAACTAATCCGATGATTGTAAAAATATAGTTGCATGACCAATAATTAATTTTCAATAGTCAACAATTCAGAGAACTTAATTTGAAATGAATATGTAATTTGTATTAATTTATGTAAAGACATATTATTCATTATAATTACAGAAATTCCCACACATAATTATGGTAACTAAATTCCTTAAATTCCTAAAAACTGTAATCATGAAACTAAGAAGAATGTGGATACTACGGATACTAAATGTCTAGATACCTATAATAAATTAATTTAATAATTATAAATTGTTATATATATTTTACGGAAGTAAAATAATAGGTCTCAAGATCAGAGTAGTACTGAAAATATTTGGGATTGTACATTAATGCATTCATTGGTAATGTAATATTAATTAAGTTTTTCAATAATATCAATCTATAATTTCGATACAATGTACCTATTTCAGTTAAATATAATTAACTTAATTAATATAAAAAAATTGTTTGCGACAGTTTAAAATTAAAACAAGGTTGAATAATACGATTATTTAATATATACACTAGTGCATAATTTGAATGGCTAAATAATTCTAGTATTGTATCTGTTTTTTTTTTTACAAAAAAATATTTTTTACTACAATTTACATAAATAATAACAAATGTATAATACAGAGCATGATAATATAGCATACTGATAAACTCGCTATACCATTAATTTATTTTACTGATGTGCGTGTTTCGTTTAATTAATGACAGCAAATTTAATTTAATTACTTAACATGTTGATGCTTAACTAATATTATTATTATTCATGAAATACTTAAATATATAGGATAATTAAGCTATTTAAGAGTTGGATAAATTAAAAATCATAAAATAGATTTAAAAAAAATGATCAACTTTTTTAGTAAATTTAAAATTTTATAAAAGAACGAAAGTAAAAAAATAAATTTAACTATTATAGACAAATAAATCTATTTATAAATTAAACCATATGCTAGAGGTTAGTCAATATGAATAAATAATACAATTATGAACATTAACAATTACGAATGCACTAAAATGTGAGATGATGCCAAACAACAATATGATTTTAATTTACAATTTTTTTTGCCAACCGTTTTATTATTATATACAGGTAGAACGAGGTGATTGACCCTCGTAGTTGGAGCCTACTGCACAGAACATAATAACTAAAACCAGTTACAGTCTCTGACAAGGATGAGTGAAGTATGCTGGATAAATAGTGGGTCTACTAGAATTACCAATCAAATTAATACCCCCTAAAGGCAGATGACTCCGATTGTTATTATGTTTATGGTCCGATTTTCGAATAGCACATTGAAAATAAAAAGAATGATTATTATTTTGTAATCCAATCAAAAATGTCGAAGATAAATTGTAAGGAAGAAATGGAAAACATAAAAATGATTATTTTATTTTTTAAAGAAATTATAATTTAATATTTTGATATAATAGCGCTTAGCGCATAAATTAGATATTTTCAAAAATATATAAATATTTTTTCCGAATACTTGATTACGGTTTATTTTTAAATTTATTTTAAGAACAAATTAAAAAGAAAAAAAACGTACCTAAATATAGTTGAAATTAAATGAATTTTAATCGGAATGAAATTTCATAACTTTTTTTTTAATGAATCAGAAAATTGACATTTGGTTTTTCAGAAAAATTCACGCTTGATTTATATTTATTTACAGTTTATAGATTTAAGATTCTCAAAAAAATAAAACCAACATAAAATATAATCTATCATCACCATATAAACACAATTTTATATTTTTATGTACCTACTAATTAATAGGACATTTTTTATTTATTTAATTGTTATCGCAATTGGTAATTGAAAATTACTATACTACAACATAAAATTTTATTTTATAAATATTACATTTTTTTTTTTTTATAACAGCCATAATGGTTTTTATTTAATATTTTTTATAGATGCAATAACACAATTAAGTTGAGAATAGTTTACAAAACATACAAAGGCAAATGACCTGAAACACCACATGATACTGTTAAAGCCTATACGAACTATTCCATGGCTAGGATGTATGCTTGGGTTCACATGAAAACGGTAGGAAGAAATATTCTAATCGTTTACACATACATGAATTAAGTACAATATAAACATTCAACATACATTATTTCTACAATGCGTTTTGTTAATACTACAATTGCAATATCGTAGAGGAAATTTTGACATATTTAAATCTTTAAATATCAATAATAGTACATGTATTTTAATTTAATAAATATTGTAAGTTATATTTAGATCACAGTAGGTAACTAGTAAATAGCTTTTTCCGAAAACTGTAACACGAACCACTAACTGCAATATTCCACGAAATAACTCGTAAATTCTCTATTTGAAAAAAAATACTTATATGGATAGGTTAACGTATAATTTTATCGAATATTTTTAATAATTTGGTTTTTATTATCAATAGATATGTAATAACTATTGCAATTTTAACCAACTTAACTTAAAATTTTAGAAGTAAAATTTGAAACGACGGAAAACAATTTCAAGTAATGAAAGATGAGGAGACTGAGAAGATAAATGATGTAGCAATTTCTAATGTAACGATTGATCAATCGGCATGATAAAAATGTTTAAATTTTTTTTTAATTCGTCATTAGGATCTACTTGAGAAAAAATTTCTCATTTCATTTAGGTACTTTTGCCTTAAGTTCTAAAAAAAAGTTGACTGTGTCAACTTTTAAATTTAAATCGATGTTACATAATGGATTATAAATGTAAAAATGTGGCCTCAAGTAGATGAATTCAAATCAGTTTTTAAAATTCTTATCAAACCAACAGAACGACCGGTAAACGTTGGAAATAGAATAATCTGAATTTCTATGTTATCCTTTTGATCACATGAATGTACAGAATCTTCATACCAAAATATTTTAAAAAACACAATTTACAAATCGATTACAGTCTTATAACATATTTCCAAATTTTTTACTGAAATTAAATTATATAACGAAGCATTGATATACACTTTTAGTAAACATTTAAAGAATATACAAATTAATATTTTGTTAACCTACCAAAGTATAGTTTGAAATAGTACTATTATAGAGTAAAAATAATTTATTGTTGAACAACAGTTTTCATTAAGAGAATTTCAAATATTTCATCAATAGTAAACCAAACTTAACTTAGAATATTCTTTGAATGCATTGTTTTTTGTTTGATATTATACAAACTTTAACAATAACTAAATTTTTGTGACTTCTGAACCTAATGTTTAGCAGAATGTTTGGTTTATAATGCGACTTTTCAAAAAAAAAAATGTCAGTAACCCTCAAGAAAATTGAAAAAAGGTGAATAAATAAGTATAAAAGTTTTTAATAAATTCTTAATAATATAAGGGAATTCAAAACGTACTATACATTTAAATAACTATTAAGTTGTATGTAGTATTCTACTTTGGTTATTATTTCAAGAACTTAGACTGTTCAGTGTTTAAATAAAAGACAGAAGGCAGAATAATTTAGCATAATTAGATATTTTTGAATCGAAACAAACAAGTTAATAAAAAAGTTTATAAGATGAATTTAGCATTAGACTAATAAATTGAATTTAACTTATATTGACTGTATTAAATGTTCAGACCATTTGAATCAGATAACGTTTTTATAATAACTTAAAAAGTGAATATTTATGATATAAATAAACGATTCATGAAGCTCAAATGAGGGAATGACTTTTTTTATTAAGTATAACTCATTAATCTAATTTAAAAATTATATTATGACCAAATAAATATAATTGGTAAATATAAGTACTTTAAGATACATTCATTTGCCTTTTTACAGAACAATTAAGTACTTCTAATAACTTAATTACAAATTATTATAGTAGGTACATTTAAATTACTATTTTTTCTTAATTTTAAAAATGTTAGAGGTAAATTTTCTAGAATTCTGGATCATATTCAATGAAATCTAATGAAACCAAATATGTCACTTCATATAGGGTTTTATCATTGGACCATCTTATTTATTACATTTTTTTTAATTTACACAGATGTTATATGAATTAAAATAAAAAAAATAAAATTATAATTACCATTTCTTGAAACATCTAATTCAACTAAATTCTCAAAGCATTGTATTTCCGGTGGTAAGCGGTGTATTTCATTGTCACTAAGACCAAGTTTCCGTAATCTTTGAAGTCTGAAAAAGTTCTGTAAGAAAAAAATATTTAAATTTATAAAAATATTATATTGATTTTTTTTATTAATTAATATACAGAAAACAGATAGTTATTTAAAAAAATTCAAAATTAGTGTTAGGAATCTACTACTGAAAATAATTAAATATTTTAATATAGTAAATACCAGCGGTTCCCAAAATTTGAAGTGCACCTTTCTTGCAAGCTGCAAGCAATAATTAAGGGAAGCGTAAGGCCAATATTTATATTGTATAATTATGCACTGTCATATATTTATTTTTTCATTGACAATAATTTGCTTATATTAAAATAATAAAAGTTGTTTTATTTGGAGGCGTTATTAATTTTTTTTTTTGTTATAGGGATGCATAACCCAAAAAAATTTGGGAACCGTTGTTACAGTGCCGGATTACCCATTAGGCGGAGGTGGCATCCGCTTTAGAGGCACACTCATTGAAGGGGCACCGTGAAAACGGAAAACTATATTTTTTTTCTATTTAATAATACCTGTATTCTATTTATGAATTTACGGGACAAAAGTCATAATGAAATATAATATATATTAATTTGTAAATGTTATATGCAGTAATAATAATTAAATTATTTCGAAAAAATAGAAATAATATAATAATTAATTAATTTTTCTTGCAAATATAAAAATTTAATAAACATGATTTTGTTTATTAATAATATTCGGTTATTTTTAAAGCTGTTAATTTTAATTATTGGATAGTAATGTTAAAGATGTACGTAAAAAATTATTTTGTAGGACCCATAATTTTCATTGCTCAGGAGCCCAAAAATGTTTAATCCGGCACTGCGTTGGTATATACAATATTACAGTATAACATACTCATTTTCAATCAATTAATATATTACAAATAGCAAAAAAATATAATAGTTCTAAAATGTGTAAATAAATACATCCTTGAACCTGTGTATACTAATAAATATTTAGTTTACAAATAAATTTTAAAAGATATGTAACAAAATTTAAGCTCTTACTGTGATTTAATTTCCAATTGAAATTAAAATTATTGTAGAATGTAATTTCAGAACTTTAAAACTTACATTTACACAATAGTGATTCATTAACGATAAATGTTTGAGAAAATATTTGTACCGTTTTTAAAACTAAGAATGTACTTTTTTATAAAATTGTACAGAACATTTAACCCATGTTTTTTAAATTAAATAATTAATAAATAGGTAATGAGGATCTTTAAAAAGTAATAAATCTATAAATAAATAAACCATAAATCCATATAAAAATAAATTATTTTACTAAAATTGGGGTCATTAAATAATAAGTGACACATACATTATTTATGGAGAGTGATGTAATTTCATAGAAAACCTTGATTTAGACTGGACTGTTTACATTGAACATACATTATATCTATATATTTAGTATTAAGTCTTAATTGTTATCTATTGAGCCTAGTATTATAATTTAGAACCTTTTTATTTTACTTATTTCTTTTACAGAAAAAAAACAATTTCATTTTGTACCTATAGGTTTTTTTTATAAAATATATAAATTCATATATTGTGTGGGCTATAGGAAAATTATTAAGTATGAAAAAAATATATATATTTTTAAAGATATTTTTAGTTCATTATTACTACAATAAATTTACAACCATTTAATGACAATTGATGGCTTACACATTATATACTATTTTGAAGGACATATTGAAGGAAAAATTAGAATAATAAATGTCTTGAAATATACAACTGATAAATTTTAATTATCAACATTATTTACAAATGCAATAAATATTTGTGTATAAAAAATTATATTATAAATCTAAATGTTATTAATACATATAAATTTAAATTTATTTAAGCTAAAATCAGATAAAAACTACAATTTTTATTAAGACTTTTAAAATATGTAGTTCGTAGGATTTTTATTAGCTATCTTACTTTTTGTTTATAATATAAACATATAGTTACCAATTGTTATAAAAAAATTGTCACTGTAAATTATTGAAGTCAAGTTCAATTTTATTATGGAAGATTCGAGAGTAAATCTTAAACAAACAATTTTTAATATTAACTTATTTTTTTTTAAATTTAAAATTTTCATAAAAACAAAACAAATATTAGATATATATCTAAATAGAGCTAAAATTTACATATGCTAAAAACATATTAGCAAAATATTTTAATATTATATAATATACTTTCAAATCTATTGTTTAAAAATATATGCAAATTTGAGTAGATGAATTTAGATTTAAACGAGCAGACAATATTACTCCATGAATATGCTAAATTCTTATGTAACCTTCTAGTTTTCAATATAGCGTATGAATCAATAACTTAAATATAACCAATAATTCATTGATGTAAGTATAATAAATATCAGTATATCCAAAATTACTAAAATGGTTAATAAGAATAAATATATAGCCGTAATGTAATATAGTAAGAATTTGATAAATGCTAGTTCATTAATTATGAATGGATAAATGTTAAAAATAATATTAGGCATATGAAAAGACCAATAACAATAAATGTATGCACTACTCTTAAACTCTACATTTATAGGTTCAACATGTATTGTTATGCTATACTAAATTTCTTTATTTTTTTTCTAGGTATTACAGTAATACTAAATTTTAATTATTATATTGTAATGAACGGAATAATATTTTAATTTTTTCTTTGTAAATATGAAATTTATAGGTGTATGATACACATAAATGAAATAGGTATAAAACATGGTCTACTTTGCTGAGTAAAAATTACAACATTATTAGATATATACATTTAAATTTAACACCTCAAATATTTAAAATTGACAATAAATATAAACACTATAGATAGGCAATATTATATATTAAATATATTTTCTTCGTTATACTAATTGTAGGTAAATAATAATGTATGAAAGTAATAAACCAGAAAGATTGATTATAACATTTTGCAATCCCAATATATGAGTACTTTATATTCATTGTTCATATACTTAAGTAGGTATATTGTTTTTAGTAACAGGTAGATATGTTTCTTTGTTCAAAGTGATAATGTAACTTATAATAGTTAACATAATAATTGCTGTTTTCTTTTAATTTTAGGTTTATTCTAGAACAAAAGTAAATTAGTAGGTAATTATTTTGATTTACATAAAAATATTCAAAGTATTATAAATTGCACATGACTATGCAAATACTAATAATAATTGAAATGCGAACAAATATGACTGATAAATTCATAAGTAAACTTAACATTTGTAAAAGTATATAAATAAAAATAAAAAAAATAATTTAGGTAAACTTATATGTTAATTGAAATATGAATATTACAAAAATTAGTATTATTGTGAATTAAAAAATTTAGTAATTGCCGGAACAAGTGCTAACTTCATCAAAAGGTAACCAGTATTAACAATTGTGTCATTGTCAATAACATGCCCCTACATTACATTTTTTTTTCGAGTGTGCATAATATAATGAATTGAATACAAAACATAAATAAATGTCATCATTTTATTCAGAATAAAACACAAACCTAATTTTTATCAAGGTTACAAATGTAAAAGAATGCAAAAAATTAAAAACTAATATTTTTATGTAAATACCTACATAAAACATAAACATAATATTACACATAATATTTACAATTTATATTTATGATGAATTTTAATACTAAGAATTTCAAAAAGTATTTCAGAATAAGTTTTAAAATAAACTAAAAAATATTTAATAATATAAAATATCCATGTAATTTATGTAACTTTCTTTAAAGATTAAAATGTTTACATTAATCTGCGTAAAGTAATAAATTCTGAACTCATTTCAAACTGAAATAACATATTGAATTGAAAAAAAGTATTACATATAATTGTACCTATTACATATCTATTTAAATTAATTATTATTATGATTTAATAATAATATCCATAGACTTTTTTAGATCAATATGATTACGTATGTTAAATTGTAAAGCCATGTATTGTTTTAATTACATACACTATAAATTATAATATTTTAAAGTACTAAAAAAATATATACTTAGATCAATTATATTAGATGCATTTGAACAAATCCAGTTATAATGTAAGATTAATTGTACTAGGTATTTATACATATTTCGATGTAAGTTTTAATTTATATAGTATAGACAACATTTTACATTTCAATATTGATGATAATCTAGCAGGTTAATAATTTTCCTATGACCCATTCATACAAAAAATAAAAAAAATATCTATGTAGATAATGTATAGGTAAATATTATCAAAAATAATTAAATATTTTACCATCAAAAACAATTTTTACATGAAACAAATTTATAATAATTAGACATGTGCAACAGTTTGCATTACTACATTATTAAGTAAGTAAATACATGTCATTACTTTTATCTACTTAAAATATTTAGAGAATAGTCACCAACAGTGATTTTAGTTATACATTATTAATGAAGTGCTTAAAAGGTATTTAAAACAATACAAACATGTTGTTTGATAAACAAAAAGACATAAATATGCTTACTGGGAATAAATAAAAGAATTAAAAACCAATCCATGTCCCACAGCTATTTGAAAAAATAATTAGATACTTGGTTTTGGTTTTAACTATCTACTTGATTTTACAATAAAATTAAATAAATCAAACCAAAGGATATTACACACATTAAATGTGTACTACAAAATTGTAATTTAATATAGAAGATGTTGTACTTGTAATATATTAGTACCAAGAATAACACGGGTGCATACAACAGTGATTGCAAACGAAGATTACTTACTTTGGGTAGTTCACGTAGATGATTGGCATCGAGCAGTAACTCCTCTAGGCTCCTGGCATACCGAAGTATTTCTTCGGGCACTGAATTCAACGAGCTGTGTCGTTTGTCCACACATTCTACCTGCCTGTTGCAGCCCTTGAATATGGGTATGCAACGGAACATTGTCAGGCTGCGGTCAATCGATGGGTGACATGATAACAATGTACATAAAAAGGTACGGGTAAATGTTTAGCGTTGCACGGGCAAGCACAGCGAAGACGTTTTTCGGATGGTCGATCAAAGCGAATCCATCGATGACCGAGGAATGAACACTTGGAGGACGGCACACGGGCGCTTTGACTTTAAGAGGGAAAATACGAGATTGCACACCGGCTGGTTCGGTCGACTGCGGTATTTACAAGAAAAAAAAAAAAAACGGCTAGCGAAACAACAACAACAACGACGCGTAACCGTCAACAACAACAACAACAATAACAACAACGACGACGAGAATGGCAGCGGCGGCAATCACAGCAACGGCAGCCGCGTCCGGTGAACACGATGAAACATTTGCGTGGGCGGCGACGACGACGCCTATTCGATCGCGGCCACAGGTACCGCACGGGGAAAACGATCGGACGGAGGCGCGCGCGACCACGGACGGCGGAGAAGGAATACGTGACGGAATTACAATACGTGCGCGCGCGGACGGACGCGATCGGATATCCGTACGGGGAACGATTTCACTGTTGCACTGGACACTACACCAGCGCGGCCACCACCAAGAAGAGCACTGCCGACGACGGGCACACGTAACACCGTCCACCCACCCACCACCCCGGATGCCATGGTACGTATTGTAATGGTAGTAGTAGTAGTAGTAGTAGTAGTAGTAGTAGTAGTAGTAGTAATATTAACAGTAGTAACGGGTGGTGGGGGGTCGGTGGCGTGCCCGTGGTCGACGGCAACGTAATCTCACCAAGTCACGATCCGCATTCCGCTGAACATTCCGAAGCCGCACAACGGGTATGACCGGCGCGGCGGGGCGGGCGCGCGGGACGGCGACCGATCGGGCGCGCCCGACCGACCGTGGCCACTGGCGTTATCACCGACCGGCCGCGGTGTGACCAACCGTCGGCCGCCGTCGGAAACCACCACGTAGTAGCGCGGATTCACCCGTTCGCCGATAACGTCTTGTTTTTGAAAATAAAAATTGAAAGCCATTTCCTCCGTGTCGACGATCCGCAAAATGCTAAACGTTCGCGCCATGCCCTTCCTCCTCTAGTTTCCCGGTCGTCCCCGAGCGGCCGTGACCATGATGGCCGAGGACGGGCTGCCCGGACTCAACTACGCCGACATAGCCAAAAAACTGTTGAACGACCGTCTGCTGCTCACCGCCCTGGAACTCCACTACGAGCTGGTCGAGGCTGGCAAAGAACTGCCCGGGCTACGGGAGTTCTTCTCGAACCCAAGCAATTTCGAACACTCCTCTCCGCAGAACGACAACATCAGCATCACATTGAGCATGGGTACGGTACCAACTATCCGCTCTATATAACGTGTGCGCCACTCCCTTTACAGCACTTTCAATGACTTCAATATTGACTTTATTTTTTCTCAGCTCGATCCTCGAGTCAGGCCACCTTGGACTCTCTGGAGATGACCAGATATTCAGAGGACGGTGATAAGACAATAAACGAACGAGTCGCAATACTTGAGTTTGAACTTCGCAAAGCCAAAGACACAATAAACGCTCTTAGGACAAACTTGACGGTCGCAGCTGTAGGTAATTGTATTGTTTATTCATACACAAAAAAATTCATCTTTAGTTAAATTCAATTATTTTTGATCAATCGCTGTGCATATTCAAAAAGTCAATGTATAAAGTTACTGAAATTATTTGAACAATTTTTATTTCCTTAGAATCTGAAGAGTTTGCTGGAGAAGAACCCAAAATTAATCAATATGATGATAGAATCAAACCACATGAGCAACGAGTTCTCAACTTTTTAGTTAATGAATACTTGATGCAACATAATTATAAGTTAACATCAATTACTTTTGCAGATGAAAATGAAAATCAAGTAAATTATTATATTATTATTTTGTTTATTAATAAACTTTATGAAATGCTAATTGGTTCGTTAAAAATATTGATATGATTATAATAATATTATCATTAATTTCTGTGTAGCTGTATTTGTATTCTGTACTTATGTGACATATGTCAAAATGAATATTTGCCTTCAAAAATGTATAATTCAATAATTCCTGTATATGTGTTTTATTTATCTTTTAATTATACCTTGATTGCAATATAATATAATCCACGCCTGTTTTTATTTTAGGATTTTGAAATCTGGGATGATGTTGGCCTTAATATTTCAAGACCACCTCATTTATTATCAATGTATAGGGATCGAGCTAAAAGTTATTTGAAATCAGATGTGTCCTGTCAATGTGAAAAAATTGATTGCGTAAATATTTCTACCCAGGTATAATATAAAATTAATTGTGTATTAATTAATGATCTTAAAATAGACATATACTGAATAAATTAAATTTTATAGATAGAAGAAAACTCCAGTGATCTAACAAAAAGAATCTCTCAATTAGAAAATGATAATGAAAATCTCATTTCTCAATTACAGTTGTAAATATATTTGTTTAGTTTTAATTTCATCATACTAAGAATAATAAGTTATTTAAACAAACAATTTTAATAATAGGCTCAAATCATCCAAAGATAAATCTGAAATTAATACTGAGATATATAAAGAAAAGTGGTTACGACCCAGCAAAATAAATAAACAAATAAAAAATCATGAATCATCAGTTTTTCGTGATACATTAATCGATAAATGTTGGCCTGATCTACAATTGCCATTAATGTGTTTGGATGTGAGCTTGGAAGTTATAACTGATGATGTCGAACTAAATTTATATCCTCTACTGCGATTGCTTGAAAATCAAAGATTACGTAACCAAAATGATGAAAATCTCTTAGAATCTGAAAAACAAGAAGTACTTTAACATTTCAATTTTTCTTTTATTTTTAAAATTAACTTGTTATTTGTTATTGTTAACTTGTAATTTTTAATTTCAGGATTTTATTATTTTAAGTATTCTTTTAATGCATATCCATCCGGATGCATCTGAAAGAGAAAAGTTGTTGTACTCTCTATTTAATATGAGAAAAAAACCTAGTAAAAAAGAAAGAAATTTTATTATAGGAGGTAGTTATGTATAATTGTTCATATATTTTTATTTTTATTTTCATATTATATATTTTTTTCATTAAGGTTTATCTTGGTTTTTAAAATATTCAAACTGTGATTTTTTTGAAAAAGAATTATTGCCCCAATTATGGCATTTATTGACAGATAAATATGTTGAAAAAAGACTATTAGTTGCAGAAGCTTGTTCTTGGTTTAGCCCTTTAATTAGTGTAAGTTTTAATTTATGAATAGAATCATGAAAATGCTATTAATAAGTAATTATTAATTATTTAGTGTGAATCAAGGCAATCATTACTCTCTGTATTGCAACAAATGTTAATTGAAGACATGGACGAATCTGTTCGCGCAGCTACTATTAAAAGTATTGCTATCAATACTGTTTATATTTATGATAGTGACAAATATGCTCAAGTAAGCTCCATTTATTATTAATAATGGTTTTTACATTACTTTTATTGTAATTACTGTTAAATCTTAAATTATTTTTACATCAGATATTTAATTTTCATAATCAAATTAATTGGTTTTGATTATTATAAATTAAATTGTATTTGTATGGTATAAATTTCAATTATATTGAATATTTTTAGGTCGAAGAACTTCTTTTTGTCGGCCTTAAAGATAATTTTAAATATGTAATTGAAATCACCATAGGAGTTTTGTTACCTGTATTAGCTAAATGGGCATTTGATAACGGCCGTTTACAATCAAATTGTTGCACAAAATTAATAAACTCTTTGACTACTCAAATCAACGTAATTTTTTTAGTTAATTTTAAATTCTTATTTTATTTACTTATAAATTATCATGATTAATCATTTTTAGGTTCTTGATTGTCAAAAAAAATCAGAAAAAACTAATCAGTTAGAATCCAATTGTTGTTATATGGCTAATGCTCTTCGTTCTATTCTTCCATACTTAGTGCTTTTTGTTGCATCTGCTCCTGAATGTTTATCTTTACAAAATAAAGATACACCTAGAGGAGAATTGAGTAAGTAAAATATATAAATATATGTTATTTCTGATTCTATACAATATGTATTATTTTGTATCAGGGACAGGTTTTGCTGATATATGCATAGGTTTGTGTAACCCTACAGTATTCTTTAATGATCCAAATTATACAATTGGTACTGTGATGTGTACATTTGATGCTGTTGTTGAGAACAATCAAATAACATGGCCCAGGCTACAGTGGCTATTTGAATCCATGTATGTTATAAAAAAAAAAAAATTAAGCTTAAATCGTATTTATAGTATTTTATTATATTTTAATTTAATTTCTAGGTTACCTAATTTAATTGAATCTTCATCCCTGGTTTCAATTGAAAATCAAAAACTTTTGCAATCGCTCATGGCACTATTCCAATCATTTTGTTATGGATTTGGATCCAAGTTCACTCAAAATAGAGTATGATTTACTAATTTCTAATTGTATTTATATTATATAATACTTATAACACTTAAAGTTAATTAACAGGTAAAACCATTATTTATAAAGAAAATCCAAAATCTTGAAAAATCATTAGGGAAAATATCTAATTCATTGCCATCAATGTCTCTACTTTGTATATATATGTGTTCTATATTAGCTCCAATCTCAGTGAGTTAATTATTCAATAATTGAAAATATTTTTTGTGTGTATTGTGTATTGATCTTCATTATTTTAGCATGAAGATAACGAACTAGAAATAACACTTAAAAAGTATGTGTGTTCTTTACCTTTATGTGGGGTGCCTATAGATGTATTGCACTTAACAATCAGCCAATTAGCCATTAACCATCAACACTTACATGAGATGATATTATCATCTCTCTGGGAAGGTACAGTAGTAACAGCAAATATTTTTATGAAGAATTTTGTACTAATTTATATAATTTTATAGGTGTAATTAGTCAAAAAGAAGCAATCCGTTTGGCCGTTACTAAACTACTACCCTCGGTCATTCCACACTTGTCTGATACGTTTACAACTAATAGAATTGTTCCTGCTCTTATTACTCTGTCAAACGATTCTAATAGGTTTGCTTACAAATTTAATGGTTATTAAATAATTAAATATTGTTTTTAAATCTATCTTATATAATTATAGTGATGTAAAAATAGCTTTGGTTCCGGTTTTGGGACAGTTAATGATGTCTACCAATAACAAGGATACTATAGAAAAGTGTCGTTTTCAAATGAAAAGTCTCATGGATGATAGGGCATTAAGTGAGAGTATAGTGTTTGCCACCGAACTCATAACAACTTTTGGTAAATTGGCTCCCAAGTCCGATCAAGCGTACAGAGAAGATGGTAAATATTAGAAATATTTAATGCACGCTACGAGGCTAAAATTAAACACATTTTTATAGTAATGATGGTCCAGTTAAATATGTACTCTGGTGTAGCAGTAAGGACATCTGACATTACAAAGAAGGTAGAACTGGCACGTGTGCTGTTAGATGCTTTCAGTACAGTTCTTTATGAATGCACTTTATCCCAAAGTGCTATTACATTATCTCTTTTACCTAGTTTAAGGTATTATAAATATTCATTGTTGTATTGTGTTGAATTTTAAGTTCTATTATAACTTGTTCTAGATGCCTGGAAGAACTTTGCAATGTTAATAATTTATCTCAAAAAGAATTATCAGCTATGTTAATTAAAGAAGCTGAGTCAAGGTTACCATTACAATCAGAAAGGTAATGTAATATGAAACATGAATTGGTTTCTCAATTATTTAACTATTTTTATTGTACCATATAATTTACTAATTTTCCTTTTATTTACATATTTAATATAGTAGTGGAAGCGGTCTAGGCATGACTCAAGATTTAAAACCTAAAATGGTTAAAATGTTCCAATCATCAAATATTGCTAAACAAACCATGTTTTGGAAAAAAAATAACCAGTCTCAATAAACATATTTTTAAGACTATGCGGCAAAAACTTAAATATTTAGAGTATTATTTGAGTAATATAGCTCAAATATTATAAATATATATATAAGATTATTTGGTACAAAACAAATGCTATTGTGATATTTTAAATAGTTGTACTATTACGATATATTGTTATATAAATACTTTTTTATGTATTAGACCACTTTATATCAAATGTGATTTTTAATCACCCACATTTTATTTGTTGTTGAATATAAATATATTTTAAAATTATTGGTAATTGACTTAAAACATTTAATAATAAATAATGTATATTTGCTACAGGATTGTGTTGGTTATTACAATGTAGATTTTTTTTTTCTATAGTAAAATAATATTAAAAAAAAAAAATATATATATATATAATAATAATAATAATAAAATAAAAATAAGCATCAAATAACTAGTAATTGATGAATTCTTTGATTTCTCTAATTGTCATTATTAATAATTGATTCACAAAGGTTATTACGAGGGTATGTATAATTATTTAAATCTAGTTAAAAAAAAAAGAACTTCAATCTAACCATTTTTAAAATACTAGATAACATAATTAATTTCATACTTTATACATATCACACAAACACAGTATAACTATGTTGGTTTATAACGAAAGTTGTATTTTAAAATTGAAAAAAAAATTGCAGCACACTAACACTTAAATGTTGGTTATAGTTCACTCATTTTTGATTTTAATAATTAAAAATTTGACACAAGTATATATCTATTTTTTGAACAAGTTTTTTATAATTTTAAAATACTTATTTAAAGTCGATATAATTATTATATATGATATAATAATACTAGCCAGCAATGACCATGACTCCAAACTATCATGTAAACATATAAACTAAATAATTAATTAATAATTATTGTATGTATATAAATTAATTAAAAATTTAGTCAGCCTTAAGGTATTCTGTAAGAAGGATGTACTGAAGCTTTTATGAGACAATAGGATTTTTTTATTTTTATTAATTACTTAAATTAATTTTGAAGTAATAGAATCAGCCTGTGAAACACCTATTCTGCCAATAGCTTGTCCCATTTGAATAGTTTGTCCAGCTTCAACATCAAAAACGAAATCTTTGGGTGCTTCAAATAATAACACAACAGTTGAACCCATTCTAAATTCTCCAACTTCTTGTCCCATTGACCATTGAGTTTCTAATGAACAGTCGTGTTGATTGAAGTCTTTTCTACGGCATCTCATATTAGTTTGTAAACCCTATGCATGAAGAAGTCAATTTAAATAAAATTAATATCTAAAAATATAAATATATTTTTTAGATTTTACCTTGTCAGAGTGTACTTTGATGGACCCTACGTTTGTAGCACCCACAGCAGTCATTGAGAAAAAACCGTGTTCCCATTCTCCAACATACACTGCTCTTTCATTCAATACAAATAAGTCTGGTAGTAAACGAGCTATTTTCGGATTGACACTTAATAGTTCACCTTGAATGAATTATTAAATTAATAAATATTATTGTTTTTAAATTAAAAATATTGTTAATATACCTTGAAAATGTCTTCGAAATTTGACAGTCCATTGAGCTGGTGAGTGAAATCTATGATAATCTCCAGGAGCTAAATAAATCACCAGTTGATACAATTCATTGTCTGAGTTATGCAACAACTTTGATCTATATTCGTTCCAATGCGGATCAAATGGTTCACATTCGTTATCATTTTTGTCTTGTCGTTCAACGGATACTGTTTTTTCTTGAGTATTGTCGGACAATGCTACATCTTGTTTTTTAAATGATAAGCTGAAAAAGCTTACACCTTGTGAGAGGAAATTGAATATGAAATTGATGCAGTACATGTGCATAGTAAGTAGGCCATAATGATAAAACAGGAAAGTGGAATTGATCGACCAACCACTATAATTAGATGTTGAGTCCTGTTTCATTAGATCACATTTTGTGGTAGTATTTACTGGTGATGGTTCTAATCTTAAAGTATCAAAGTCATCTAACCAAGTTGGTGAACCTAAAAATGACTTGATAGTATATGTAACACCCTTAACTTGTTCAACTTGGCAAGATGTTACACGACCAACGCTTACTATGGTTCCATCAGCAGGAGATACCTGAAAATATTTAGAACTGATGTGAATAATATACTTATAAAATAACAATATTAACTAATGATCAGGAGAAAATTCTTACAATAGACCGATCAGTACATATTGGTCGAGCTCCATCTTTTAATCGTCTAGCAAAAAATTTTCCTAAGCTTTTATAAGATTCCATTGGTAATTCAATTTCTTCTATAATAACTCCAAATAATTTGGAGTATGCAGTATATAACCAATATCTTAAATTCCGTGGAATATAACATCCTGATATATAGCCCCATAAACGTGACATTGCTCGTAATGGAATAGCTTTGTAAAATGATAGCTGAAAAATAAAAATATTACAAAGTTAAGATTTTATTTTTTCAATGTAGTTGTGATTAAATAAAACTAAGATAAAATATTGATCAAATAAAATAATCTCAATCTCAATTAATAATTTCAAAGTTATTCAGTTGAATCAGCAGTTGTATGATAAATCTTATATTTCTTCTTAACCAATATAATTTAATATTTAATTAATTTTTTTGTAAAATAAAATTAAGTTAAAAGTAACATTGATTTTTTATCTGGTTAGGATAAATATTATGTTTACTTATAATGTTTATAATGTTTGTATCATATTGTATGGTTCTATATATATATTTTTTTAATAGTTTGTTGATACAACTATAGACCTTAAACTATTAATATGTACAGTTGAAATGTAATATTCAAAATTCAGATAAGGTGGCAGAGACTGCAATGTTAAACTGGCTCGAATAGGCCTACTGATATTAATATTAAACATTTTTAATATGAAGAGAAGGTTTATACAACTGAGGTCTAATATGCAATTTCGTGTCTACACCATAGGCTTAATTTGTAGGTACAGAGGGGGTGTAGGAGAGCTTGATTCCACACAGGTTTCTGTCACATAATTTTGGTCTTGGAATGCAATTTTAAATTGTTATAATAAAGTCCCCTACTTAATTTTTCCCAATTTGAGCACTGAATATAAAATATACACAAATATCAATTGATTAGTAAAGCAATGCACAGTTGTGTAATATCCAAGCAGACACATAGGGTGGTGAGTTAGGCCAGACCTCTCTTACATTTATTTGGGCCTAAAGCTGAACCCTCTCCTTAATTTCATATATAATTTTCTTACTAAGAATCTAAAATAAGCTAGGTTTATAGCATATTCTCATTTAATAAATCTACTGTGACAACTATTTGATATACAATTTATTATAATTTTAATTATTATATAACTTATATATGGATATATTATTATTATATTAATTTTTATATTAGTAAAAAATTGTATCCTAAAGTTAAATATAATATTAATACAATATTAAATGAGAATTAGGGTAAAATGGTGCCCTGAATAAGCTTTATAAGATTCTTATAGAAAAAAAATGATGGAAAATTATACAAGGGTCCAAAATTGCTGTCCCCTATTTTTGGCCATGTGCCTGTATTCAAATCACTGGCTGCATGCTACATGATTTTGGCATGACCAAAATGTCAGGTTCAATTGACAATTTTAAAATCTATGCTAAATAATTATTGTACACAACATATAGTAACTAATAATTATAACTCATATAATGTATAGATTAAAAAACTCAACAAGCTTTGTATTTCACTATTTTAATCATTTTTATCAGAAAATAAGACAAATTTTTTAAATAAGAATTCATACATTTGTATGGAATATAGTGACGTGTATTTTAGGCCAGTAAGTCAAATCTATTAAAATATATTAATTAATCTAGTGATGAAACAAACATTTTTATAATATATTTGAACTTGTTGTGAAGTCTCTTCAAGATTAATATTTTCATATTGAATTTTTTTTCAAGTTCTAAAAAACCAACCATAAATTTTTATTTTAAATTATTTCTAACTAAAAAACAATACAAAGTTTTAGGGATTTAGAAGGATAATATTAAATAAGAATTAACATTATGAATCAAATATTTGCAGTAATTTAAAGTTATATTAAAGGTTAATTCAATCGCCTTCATTATTCTTCTTTTGATAATTAATAGTAATCATAGCTTCAAAAATATTTATAATATTAATATCTTGTTGTAGTATTGTATATATAAAGATATTGTACACTGGCATATTATCTAAATATTTTTAAGATACATATTGTTACTGAATACTGATAAGCTAATATTGAGTATGATTTACATAATTATATAAATACATTTAACTCAAAAATATATTATTTAAATAATACTTTTAATAAATAATAAAAAAAATTACAGTTATATGGTTTAATATTACGCATGCAACAGTTATTTGCTAACAAGTGTTATTTTCATATTATGTAATCAATGTGATGAGCAAACTTTATTATACTTTGAAATTAAAATGATAAAAACAATTAAAACCTTACAGGTTTTTGAAATATAAATTATTTATTTTATTTCTTACATTATTTAAAATTGTATTTGGAGAAAAATGTAATTACCCTTAAATTTCGAGTATAGATGGGTTGTTGTTCGTTTTCGGGTTGTTGCTTGTTTAGACGACGCCATTGAAGTACAGCTAGTAAAGTCAACCCTACACCAGTAGGAATTGGATAAATCAGGTTTGACCAGCTCCACCATCGTGTGTTTTTTGCCACTACTTCTTTAACATCATTATTGGTACCTAAATTAAATTATTTTTTAATAATATGAATAAGAAAAATAGTGCAAATCAAAATTAATTACAGAAATATAAACAAAATAGGTGAAGTTACACACAGGCGTACAAATATTGCGAATAAATATCAATTAATTCATAGAAGTATTGTACCCACAGTTCGTCCATGACGCATCTTCTCGTGTAAATGTTTAACTAATCGGGCGTAGAAAATTGATGCAAGTGAGCGCGAGTGTGGTGGCGTGATGAAAAAGGTTTAGAGCAAATCAGTCTACGTAATGACCTTAAAAAGATATATGTGGGCGTAATTTTTCTATTACATTATTATAAGATTTTTAAACAGGCGGTTATACAAAAAACGTTAAAATGTTAACTACAGAACTAATAATGTTAGTCACAACAAATATATTATTGAAACTTGATATAAGCATTTGCTTAACCAATGGATATTTTTATTGCCTACGGTTACGGTATTAATTCCATCGAAAACTCGGCAATCAAGCTTGATTTGTTTTAACTGAATTGACCTTTAGGTAAAAAATATTCACAAGGATCAGATGTGTTAATGAATGACTTATTTAGGTAGGTGTACACGTCGTTATCAAAATTTGGAGTAGCTAAGATTAATTATGAATTCAAACAACAGTCACACCATTTTTGTTTAATAACTAAATGATAATAATTTACACGTATAAAAAGCGTTGTCTAATTATAATTATAATTTGAAATGTTCAAACAATCAGGCATGGCTATGCTATAAAAATGTTTTTGATAAATTACCTACTATATTCTTTTGTGACGATATACGTTTATTGTTATAGGTACACGTAAAAAATACAGTATCTATGTATTTATATGAATATACATATATAAAATGATAAATATTTAATTTATAAATTAAAATATACGTAAAAAAGCATTAATACAATACTTATATAAACAAAATTAAGTTTTTAAAGATGAATTTAGTGTTCAATCTTATTAAGTGTTTAATCCTTCACTAAACCCAAATATTTTGACTACTATTATTACAATTTTTGGTAAATTGTTCTATACATTATTTACTTCAAAATTATTATTCAGAAATAAAAATTAAACAAGTATACAATTATTACAGAAATGTATAGACAACAAGTTCTAGTTGTTGTATTTATGAGTAGTTATGGGTTAACACCCTCTCAGATGTAAAATAATATTATTAAAAATGTGAATATAGATTCAATAGGAAAAATAAATTAAAAGATTATTTTTTATAATTAATCCTTCTTACTAAAAATAAATAAATAAATAATGAATTTGTTAGTTCATAACTAAAATAAATATTATTAAAATTAGTTTTTATTTAATTTAATTTTCATCAAATAAATACAATGTCAAATTTCAAATGCTTTTACTTTAAAATGTGATGTAAAATGTAATTGTACATCAATATATTTTAAAGAAATTATTTATA